TTTCTGCAGGTAGTCAGGTTCCAGCCTCATCAAACTGGCTACTTGTTTAGCCCGATTGTAGTCAACGGATTCCAAAAAGGACTTCGTAGCCGCACTCTGGCCCGCTGGCATCATGAACTTCCAAAATGACCCAACCTTACCAGTTTCGCTGAGCTTGGCGTAGACTTTCAGTTTTCCTAGATTGCCTGGCTCCTGTTGGACGATGAACATTTTCCCATTTTTATCATACGCGAGTTGATACGAGCCTCTTGCCCCGACTAATTCTACGACTTGGTAATTCTGAGACTGGCTAAGCGCCCATGTTCTTGCCGTAGTCGTGATCAAACCTGTGTGCATAGCCAGGATGGGAATCAAGGTCATCATTGCAAGCATAGCAAAATCTTTCTTATAATAATCGGCGATTTCCGATTCCAGTTCCTCTGTCGTGGCCCTCATGCCGTTTATGAACTCTGTGAGGTTTGCCCTGAATCGTATCTGCTGCTCAACTACTTCGTCATTATTATCGGGAACGTATACCGTCTCATTCTCCTCGACGACGCTGATGGTTCGCAGAATCTCCATGAGCCGAATGTTCGAGCTTGCGATGACTTCGAGCTCCTTGCTGATCTTGCTGATGTAATCAATGGCTTCGTCGTTGGTATAGTTTAGCACGGACCAGTAGACCTCGCGCTCTAATGTCGCGTTGACCTTGGCGGTGATCTGAGCTCTCTTGGCATCTAGCTCATCTAGCCTACGATAGATAAGTGTAAATTGTGAAAAAAAAAACGAATATTCAGGAGATTTTTAAATGCAAGTTAATGTTCGCGAGATGTTCGCGCTATTGCTATTTCTAGAGAAAAATATTTTCACCATTTCACGAATCAATGCATGGTCCTGCACTCTACTTCTGTACCGTCTAATTAAAGGGACGAGAATGAAAAATGAATGCTGGTTACATGTAGCTCAGAAGCTAATAAACCCGTGGTCTGCCAGCGGGTCCTGGTAGAACGTGAAAACACTCACTTACTTTTTACAGTTCCCTGGGGTGAGACTTCCACAGTCCAGCTGCTGCGCCAACAGCATACCGGCACACGCGATATCGTCCCAAAAATTGGAGAGCACAAATTTAAAAACTCCGCCAATTCCTGAAATGTTGTAACACATGAAGTAACAAGTAGTTATGCATGGCCTCTTTAGCAATTTGACATAAGAATATTATGTACTATCTATAATAGATCCACGAAAGTTTACATTAATTAATTTCTATATGAGAGAGAGAGAGAGTAAATTGTGGTATTTTAACTCACCTCTTTTCTGTCTGTGGTGAATTTGGGTATCTGAATGCTTCTCTGAGCTGCTGATCTCTGGGAAATGACGCGCAGCTGCTTAAAAAAAGAAGAGTAAAAATCACCTCACGTGAATATACAACTTTACGCAGAGACACATGCCTTTCTTTGGCCAAAATATAAGTTACGGAATTTTTTTTTCTTTAAATAGTATCATGATTGGTATTCTGTTTGTCTGTGTTTATTAACTCTCAGTTCCTGTTAGTAGATCATAACGACTTGCCTTGAGAAATAATTACGTTGTAATTGAAATATTGTGAATTATTTTACATTTCCACACCTCATAATGAGATTACAGTCAGAAACGATAAAGAATCATGAGTTTGGGCGTTACTTTAGCGGAGACCACTACTATTACTTTTTTGGCAGGTTTAGAAATATAATTTGCGACAGTTATAGCCAACAAGACGAACATAACCATAAATAAAAATTACTGTCACAATACAATACTATCCAAAAAGTAATTTAAAAAGAAATCGTCACTTTTCAGTTGGTTGCTTCGAATGGCACTCTGACACGTTGACAGTTATATTTACATGTACCCCATCTAACATGCAGAGATTGACCAGCACTATTTATCATTATGACGGCCGTATAATTTGGCCTGGTTCTAATTGTGCAGACAGTCCATTCACTTTTAACAGTTGGTCTAAAATAACCCTTGGCCTTCATATACGTCGGGGTTGAAACCCCATTAGAAAACACCGTATGTGCGTGAATGGTTCAGTTATTGGTCGTTGTCGGCGCATTGTCTTCTGTGACGTGTGATCAAATTAAAATGGATTCCAAAAATTCTTTTTCAGCGAAAATGGAAAAGAAACTGTACCTTTTTTAATGATGCGATGGTAGCCGTCTGACTCTGTTAAAACTTTTTTCTCTGCCGGTAAGGAATGCGCAATGGCTGAAATATACATTAATGTGATCTTTAATATCTACCAGGTCACTTCTTGTCCCCATTTGTAACATTTTTCAAGGTTGTTGTTAGTTACAATTATCCGACTTTTTTTAATTTCAACATTCCTTTAAAAATTCTGTCAAGGACGAGTTCTCCAGGCAATTTTCACGCACTAAAATAATGATAAAAAAGACAAAAGGAAAAGAAACTTTAGATTCCTTACCTGGATAAAATTGCTGTGTCACCAAACATATCACCATAGTCAGCCACCACTTCTTTTTTAATGCATCGCCTCGCATTTTCATCAATGAACGTCAGCGATCTTCTTTTTAAAAAATCTTAAATACAAATATATTGACTCATGCATGACTCCATATTGAGGAAGTTTGGGGTATTTTTTAAACCTCACTTTATTATATTTTGATGAGGTGCACGTGATCATCTGTTACAGACAAATACATGTGCACGTAGCAAATATACATCTAGAAAAGCTCACACAAAGTGGTTCTTCGTGAAAGAAAAAAAGTAGCTCAAAAACCTGTCAATATTCTTACGGGCTACATGTACGTGGAAAACCTAGTATAATCTTTTTAAATAATTCGTTTTTCTCTTTTCGGTAACCTACAAATATCATAATGTCCAAGTTTTAAAAGTCTTTTGAAAAACCTCGCATGCCATTTAAATACATGAGGACCGCACAAAATAATCGCATTTTGTGGAGAAATCTGAGAGAGTTACGACTTTGTAATAGTGCCGTAAATAATAGCGATATGAGAACACTGGGTCTATTTTACTGTGGATTTTTAATTTTCTAGTGAGGTACTTGGACTAAAGAGTTAATTATTTCATCGATTTTTTAAAAGCCAACATGGGGTTATATATAACGTTAAAACTTCTTGTTGCGGTGGTGTAAAAAGCTCCCTATAGGTTATTTTCCTTTAATTCTTTTCTTTTTTCGCTCTCTTTCCATCTTTCTGTTCCGCCTCTCTCTCTCTCTCTCTCTCTCTTACACACACACACACACACACACACACACACACACACACACACACATATAAACACATACAAACACTACATGTAACAAATAAAAATATAGAAAGGAAACGGGATAAATAAACAAACCAAAAAATTAATGCCAACACAGTGTACTGTAATAATACCTTTTTCTGACTCTATGATATTGATCCTATCTAAACTCTTCTTAGTTTTTTTCTTGCTGCAGAGTTATTTCTTCCTCACCGCCGGAGTTATGCCGTTACATGACCGCGATGGTTGTATTTATAGCCAACGGGGTACTCGTACACGGGAGCCATACCCATCAATTTTACCTGTCATAACAGAAACACACATAAAAAATCATAATGAGGCTGTTTTTAACTGAACGCGCCACATTTCCTATTTTTGGCTCAAAACCGGAAATTTGCGTTCGGTGTCCATTGTGTCATGACCCCCTGAACAGGATCTAGGTTAGCATGACGTAGATGTAGGCACTCGCCTACGCACGAGGTGTGTTGTGGTCTTTAGTAACGGGACTTGTTTTTCATACCAGATTGTCCCCACTGTGTTTCAATGCCCCGTTTCGTTTTATTTAAAGTTGTTTTGAGAGACACAAACGTCAGCACTCAGCACTCGGTGGTTTAAGCACTGCCATTACGAATTTCTCCAAGACATGTTAGAATGAAATAACATGTATGTCGGATTTCAGTTTGAATTTTTATTGGGAAAATAGATAAGGAAAGAAGAAGCTAAACCAGTACTAATACTTCCGAATTATCTTTTCCAATAAAATCTTTGATTAAACATTTTCTTTTATGGCAAAGAATGCTTCTGTCATCCTCAATGTATCGAAAAAAATTATACTTTTGAATACATTTCATCGTGGTTTTTTATTCTTTCATTTATTTATTTTTCATTCTTTCATTTATTTATTCATGCACAACATTAAATGAACATGTATAAAACTGGAAGTCGTTCTTTAAGACCAATGTCCCGAAGTGGGTGTGCATGTCCCCACTCTGGGTAGAGAGTACATGTGCACTAGTTACTGCTTTAGACTGTAGGTCCTATAGATTACCACACATGAAATAAATAACTGGTTTAGATATTGTCGCAAGATTAAAACAAGGGATTTGCCAGATAGAAAATTCAATCCTGCTATTTTTAGGGCACACCTCGTAAAATACTTCACCATGTGTTCATCCTACATATACATGTACAGTTTAGGTCATGATCGGAAACCGCCCCAAATTTACTTCGGATGTACAATTTTATCATATTTTTCTTCGCATGCGTTTAACGTTAATTTGAATGATTTCTCATTAAAAAAGGTGTACCACGTTGGACTACAAACCCATTTAACATGTCATCAATAATGCATTGCTTTCGGTACATTCCACATACTTTGGTAATGCTAAATCATATATAGTACAGCCTCCTCATTACAATATTTCACGTCACGATTTTTCTTTAATTAGGCACGAAATAAGCATGGCGCAACTTTTCTTTAGGTGACTGATTTGCCGCAGAATGTTCTTGTAAAAAACAGGTCGAAATCTGTCCCTAATTTAGAGATAATTGCTATTTACTAGAGCTCTCCTTTCCTGACACGTGGGAGTTTTCAGTCAGCGAAAAGGCTGATCGCACCCTAGTATACAGAAATTTGCTGTCATTTTATTTTTAAGGTATCACCGACGGCAAAACATATTTATTTGTCCTAAGGAAGATTTTTGCGTTAGTCTTTGTATCCACTTCAATGTCTTATCAGCTATGGCAGCTGTTTATTGGATACACTTTCTCTTCAGGCTTGGTGATTGTTTTGTTAAAGTTTTATGTACATGAACCAAGGGAACCAGGGGCCCGTACACCGAGTCCCTCGCCTTATTATCAAGTCTGCACTTGCGGTTAAAATAAGCCGTCCGTAACCATCCCTTTATTTTTTCATCACGCATCTCCGGCTTGCCTTTCGCTATTCGCGTTCGTGCATAGATTAAATTTGAAACCTCGTCTCTCACCTTGGTGACCTGATACCACAAGTGTTGTACTCAAGATGAACTTTGTGGCGAAAGAGAAAAAACTGGTTTTGGGGAACGCGAGATGTTTAAATTGACGGCTTTTTCATTCAATTCAATAGCAGGGCGCGATAACCTTGCGTTAAAACGAAGAATGTCGAATGTGTCGACGGAGGCTGGCTGGTACCGTCATCTCTTTTCATGGACTTCATGACAATGTATCTTTTTAAAAATATTTTCATTTAAAAAAATACCCAAAAGCGTCTGTTTCAACAGAAGCGGCGAAGATTGTGAAACAAATTTGACGGTCGTCCGTTCATGGTAAACATTTGCTCATTGTCTCTGTATCCCTTAATCCCAATCTTATTGTTTTTGCAGCGACTCTATCTCATTTTCAGTTTGCGTTGCAATTATAACAATAAAATAGATGTTAAATCGAATGAAAAAAAGAGACAAAATTAAAATGATCATGTTTGAACAGAAGGGCCGCTAGTTTTTGTCAACCGGATCTTAATTTTACCGTTTATGCAACGATTCAAATTCAATTTTAAATCGACATTAACACGTATTATAGTCTTGGTAATTACGTATGATATACTGTAAAGGAAATCAGATAAAACTATTATCATGATTTTAGTTTATTGATTCATGTTACAATTGCATTTCTGTACAGACGGTCGAACATTTCATATATTTTTAGGGAGCTTTGTGTATTAAAAGGGCTCTTCATGCTCGGTGCATTTATTCAACACCTTGCAATTGCAACAGAAGGCAATTATGTGGTTAACTTTACAGTAAAAATTTTCCATACTTTTGGCTACTGCCCACAGGTTTCCAATTATAGTCATTTCAGATATTTTTTCTAACCATTTGTATGTGTTTTTGTATTTTCCCAGTCACGAAAAGCGTTACGGTGCTTCAAAATAGATGACATTGCTGCGAGGCCCACACCGCTTTGTAAATGCAAAGATATATATATATATAGAGAGAGAGAGAGAGAGATCTAGAGAGAGAGAGAGAGAGAGAGAGAGAGAGATGGTCTTGAACAGAAGTCAACGTTAAAAAAGGTTTAATAGTCCTATTCTCTTTGCCTTCTTATAAATGTGTGAAAATGTCAATCTTTAGTTGTTGAAATCAAACAAAACTTAATACTCTCTTAACTATCGTCTGTATGTTTTATTTCTTCTTTTTTTTTGTCTGTGTTTGTTGAGAAATAAACTTTTTGTTCCCAAAGAAGTTTCACCATAGTTGTACATGTTCAAGATTGTCTGTTAATCTTTCTATTTTTTTCATTTTGTCAGTGGTTTCGTGGTTTCACAACTCTAAAATTATATAGTAGTTATTTCAGATAAGATACAGTTATTATTTTTAGCCTTTTGTTCGTTCTTTTGTATTTTTCCAGACACGAAATCATGCCAATACGTCACAGCAGACACTATCGCTTCCAGGTATATATGTCTCCTTGACAAAGTAATAAGTGATGGGATATAGGTAGAAAAAAATTTAAAAAAATATTGTGAAAAAATCAAAGTCAAAATATTGAGTTTAGTTTTCATTTATTCGTTCATTTATTTATTTATTTATTTATTAATTTATTTATTTATTGAGATTTGTACATGTACATGTCCATGATTGCATGGTCACGTGGATATATTTTCGAGTCTTTCTCCGTGGTCAATTATTACCCTCTACCAGGGCGACTGATAGATTCCAGACAGTTTGGGCTGAAGTCCAAAATTACCATCTATCTAGCTAGAGACATATCTGTGAATATCTGTAAAAATCTATCAGTCGCCCTGGTAGAGGGTAGTCAATTATAGTTAATCGCATTCCTCAGAAGATACAGTTCTTCTTTCAGAATATTTAGATGCTTTTGTATTTTTGTCAATCAAAAAATTGACATAATTGCTGAAGGGCCCAGACCTCCTTGTCAATGTGATGAGAGAGGGTTTCAAAAAAGAAAAAAAAAAGATAGAAAGCAAAACGAGATTGTGAATAAATCAACGTCAAGAGAATTACCAGGCCTTTCCTTCCACTGTCAAATAATAATGTTTGAATCATTAAATGCCAGTTTTTGTAGGGAAATCACAGCTAAATTGTCTCTTAAATGTTGCCTGTATGTTTTATTTATTTATTTATTTATTTATTTATTTATTTATTTATTTTTAGAAGTAAATGTTGAGTTAATTAGTCTTACCAAATTTATATAATCTCAAGATTGTATTGATATATCTAGTTTTCAAATAGTTCCGTACCTTCGCGTTTTCAAGAACTTTGCAAATTCACCTACATTTGTACAGTATTGAAATAACATTGCTAGCGTGGCGTCGACATAAATGTCTTTTCTTCGCACGCCTTGAATAGCGTCCTGAAATACAAACCTCCAACTTCAATTTGTGGTTGTTTACAGTATGGCGTATGTGTTTAAAGTTAATCTCTGATGGTCATGTTGTAATCCCTTTATCCCAGAGGGGTCATCCGTGTCCGGACTGCCGCCATCTTGACCACAGATGAGGAGTCGCAAGCACAGCAGCAAGACCAGTGACGACGTCATATTTTGCGGCTTATTTTGGCAAGCATATTACTGACGTCAAGACTATATGCTGGTTATTTATTAGAGGCTTTTCCACGGTCACGTGACTTCCGCTAAATTATCCGTGGGAACGCGAGATTTTGCGGGATTTGAAGTTTCAGGGGGAAAGTGTGGAGTGTACACGACGGACGCCATATCGAGGAGTGCTCATTTCAATCTGAATTTTCAAAGTTTCGTAACATGTTAACACCTGATTTTTTTCGAAAACACATTCATGGGAGCAGTTGGAATAGAAAAGTTACAGTACAAGCAAGTTATGGCCTCAAACTGTACAGCACGGTAAATTTTAAGTTATCCTATTGGGGATGTTCCCGCCAATTTTGATTTTCCTCGAAACAAGGCAACGTTCTGTTTCTGTTTATAAAAGCAACAAAACAAAACAAAACAAAATAAATAAATAAAGAAGGATCGAGCTATTGTGTAGATCCAAATGATTCCGTGCTTTGGAAAGACAGGGAATCAAAAGTGTAATTGTAGGTCCTATTTATCTGTAGTCAACCTGGGACGGATTCTCGTCCAAAAGTCAACGCACCGGTAGTTCTTTATTCATACATGTGACGTCAAAAACTCCGGTCAGGTCACTGACCTACGCACTCCACTTTGCTGGACCATAATGATCTAAGTCATGCAATATATGACAATTTATGAAAAATATGTAATGTATCTTCTTGGTTAAAGCAGCTAAAGGAGATTAAGGCACTATATGCTGCATTTCATTTATGTTTTCATAACCAGATTAGTAACCATTACTAAAATGGGCGTAAGCTAACATTAAGTTTCCGTTAAAACCAGCCATATCATGGAGGGGTGCGGGTTGATGAGTGCTACCTGTATTCTCGGGAAGTGTTTTATCTTATATTTATCTGCCTATCCCCGTTAACATTGAAGAATATATATTCATATAGATAGGGAAAGCATTTATCGATTCACTTCCAGTTTCTGGTACTTTTCCGGATTCAGTCTAACACTACCAGGTGCGTGGTGCGGACATTTAAAGATTAAAAGTAAAATGGAAACCAATTTAAATCTGAAGGGCAGACCAAAATCAAATTTAAAGCAAAACTAAAAAAAGGATATAAATAGTGATTTTATTGTATACCAATAAAATTATACCCGTCTTCGAAGATCGATCTGCACGAGCATTAAGTTTTTGTGATGCTTGAATAAGTATGTCAAAATTCTGAACTATGTTCATATCTTGAAATTGACCAGTAATGACATGACAGCTAGCAGCCATGTGTATCGACTGCTACCGACTGCAACGCCGCCCTTGTGGCAGAAATATAGTATAAATAACCAGAACCACGCCCGAGGAGTCCATTTGGGTCAGGTGCACTGAAGACCACACGGTGGGTTTTTAGATATTTTTTTTTTTTACTTTTTCCTTTCATAGCAAGCAATGCTATTCGTCTCGATTGCTGCAAACCAACTTTTAGTGACCCTATTGCTTCTGCTTGGAAAGAAATTGAGATAACATATTTCAATAATTTTGAAAGGTTACAAATTTTAAACAAAGCAATATCTGGAAAATATCATAAAATGAAAAAAAAAGATGAATTAAGAAGGTGGAATTTTGAGGCAACTGCATTTACTAAATATTTCTAAAACAAAGCGTTTTGTATTAAAGATTCAAGATTGAGGTTGCTTATCCCTTTTAGTAGCGGAAATGTAGGGCGTGGTCCTCGTGTGTGAACACATTTTGCGAGCTTGGAAATAAGTTCTCAGCACAGCAGCAGTGTAATATCACTTGTCCTCTCCTAAGCACATGGTCAAATCCGATTTATTTCTTGAGAAGTCTTGTTGTCGCTAGTCGCCTTGTCTAAGCTGTTTGCAAACCTACTGTCTTACAGTGTATGACAGAATTTTAAATATACAGTGGCCGCTATCAAACTGCTTTACTGGGTGTCTGGAATAACTAGGTACTTTTTTCATGTTTAAAAAGTTTCATCAGTTTGGTGGATGATAGAAAAATTAGTCTTATCACAAACTGCAAAATTACTCACATGAGAACTTTCGATACTTTTTAAATTCAACACACATTTATAAATATGTACATGTATATTAAAACACGATATTATTAACTGTGGAATGTACATTCAAAATGAAATAAATCGTAAATATTCAAGTAAATTAAATTCCTTGAACAATGTCAGCCTAACAGAGGCTTTCCATATAACGGACAAAATCTGGAATCCTGGTGACTCCTCGCCTGGCGGATAGTTAGTGGTATTTATAGCATTCACGTCATTGAGTGTAGGTTTCGCATAAATTACAGGTTGTAAATTTGAACAACACGCAGTGCGTGTATCCGTAGTCAATTTTTCTTTTTTTCTATAGCGCGGGTGAGTGACGCCAACAAAAGGTACACGAACCCTTAGAAATCGTAGTATTTATGGTCAACGTAGCCTTCACCACATTACATAAATAGTAACAAGGCGTGTGACACATATACAACTGTATAATTTGTATACCTGTGAGGGCCATCTCCGCATTTTTCTGGATGTAAACAGGAGCTTATACATCCCGTAGCACCCTGAGTATGGCGCGATTCACTATGGCCCTTCCTGTATACGATACTGGTCATCATGATTGGTCAGTAGAATCCCCCAAGATCAAGAAATACCTGTAATATTGCATTTATTTATTTATTTATTTATTTATTTATTTATTTATTTGTTTGTTTGTTTGTTTGTTTGTTATATACTGCATTGACACAATTGAAAACATTCCTAACACTTACCCAGTAAAACAAATACTTTCTGATATTTACATCCAGTATTATTTATGGCCATAACGTCTAAAACTTATTTAAAAAAAGACTTTGCCTATACACCAGTTCTAACATTCGTGACGTCAGACTAATAGCTGTGAAACAAACAGGGTGCCGGGCAAGGAGTGTTAATAATAGGCGACATATATGCTAAGAAATAAAGGCCCTGATGGAGTGTTCAAATATGTGAGTATAATCACTAGATTTCAGTTTGTACAATGTATATCGATTATCAAGAATGAGAAAAAATACTGTTCTAATTATTTATACTGTTTTCTGTTTAATCACATATATTGTCTTTTAAGTAACAAAATATGAGCAGATAGTTTTCAAAAACTATTTGCAAGAAGTTGAAAGTCTGAAAGTATGTCCATAATTTACATTATATAACACATAGAGGCACCCAGGTTTGCTTTTAAGGATAATAGATCAGTTGGTTAAAAGAAAATCTTCCTTTTCGTAATAAAGGTACTGCCACCCCCTATAATACCAGGCACTGTGTAATACGTCGGAGTGGTCATTATCTTCCACCAAAGACCATTCACTTGCATCGGTCCTGCTCCGTAGCAGTTACGACCATGTGTGTTGAAAAATACATGCGCCATGACGTGTCCACAGCAGGTGGCCATGTTTAAATCAATCTTTGACCTAACCGAAATGGCTGTTATTTGACCAATTTTTATTTATCTTATTTACAACAATAGTAAGACTGTTTCAGGAGCCACACGTACATTGTACTAAATGCGGTGCAGGGGCTGACCGTTTAGAGCATCGTGTGAGCGGGACCTCCCTCGCCCACATACCCGTCAGCGTGACTTCCGTTTCTTAAAATAAGACATTATTTCTTCTCTAAATGTCTCTCTTTAAATACAGCGCAGGGAGGCAACTAGCCGGACCTACGACCAGGAAAAACAACAGACAGCAAAGTGTAACGGGAGGGCGAGGACGAAGAAACGAGTGGGTATCTAGAAAACGTGGGGTATGCCAATCACTATTTCTATTTAACAGATTTATTGTATATGGATGGATTAAAATTTTGCTGCGATTTGATTAAAATAACGTACATGTTATATCGCTTATATCCATCTTACAGAAAGGATTACAAGTTTATAATCGGAAGATAATCTTTTCATATCTTTTGTACGATATTCAGTAATTTCATGGAGTGAGTTCGAAAAGAAATGTTTAAATTTTCAAGTAATTCTAAGTAAGTTCTGCTGCATTTTTTTACTATTTTGCTTAATAATTTCGATGTGTCTATTAATTAATTAATTAATTAATTAATTAACTTTTTTATTTACATCATTTCAGATTCGCAGGACTCCACGAAAATGGCGCTCTTCGGCGATAAGCCCAAGAAAAGATGGTGGCTGTTGATGATCGTCTGCTTAACATCGCAGCAGTTCTACCCAGGTAATAAAAACGAGTTTAAGCATTACACACGTGACTAGTGATACACATTTACATGTTTTAAACATTACATTTATATCGTAAATCTTGATATGTAGAACTGGGTGTGAACATAAAGTGGTCAGCGATGATAAACCGAAACATGGCGTTCATGCGCTCTCATAAATCAAAACCCCTGCCTTTTACAGGAGAAAGGATCACATCATTTCTCTTTCAACTGAGCTTACACTTCTACACGTCTGTTGAAGTATTTTCATTTTTGTTTTCATGTCCTCTAGGCATTTTATGCAGTAACTAGTGTTTAAGTTGTCTTTTTATGAAGTAGTTTTCCGGTACGTACACGCAAACTACCTGCCATGTCAACGAGCACAGAAGGTAACAGGTCGCGAGTCAGTAATTTTCCGTAGAGACTGACAAAATGATTCTACCTTCCAGACTCTTAAATATATTGACCAAAGAATTTTCGCAAGCCTACATTTGCAGAAACGCCCCCTTTTTTCGTAACTGTAAGTGTACATGTCCAGGCAATTACGGTTTAGCGATTTTGCAGAAAATTACCTTTTTATTGTTTTGGCTCATTCCCACTGAAACTATCATTCTACGTAGATCGATCCAACTCCGCTAAATCTCTCTCTGATTGTAATTAGTTTGACAGGGCTCCGTAACTGGAAAGCATCGCGTATCGCGAATAGCAATATCACATAGAGGCTACAGTGTATTGCATGGGGCGAGTATGGGCGAGATATGGAATCGAGACGCTTGCGTTCGGTCGCAACGCGCGATGCTTTCGAGTTACGGGGCCCAGATTAAATCGCTTGTTTTGTTTATGTTGCATTTTTTGCAGTTCTTATAAAGTGTGCTATGACCAAACAACAAATTATGGTGATGTGTTTCATTTTGTATACAGAATGTGAACTATGGGTTTTTCCTACAAATAGATGTCCGAGGTAGAGAGAATGTTCGCTGTTCCTTTTTTTAATTAAAAATTGTAGAATATATTATTGAATTAAATATTGCGTTGTTCTTTACAGTTATTTCCCATGCTAATCAGCTGGAGAGAAAAACTATAGAGAAAAAGGCAGTGCATTCTGAGGACAAGAGGGGTAAGGTCATTGCCGTTTAACATTAAATCAGTTTTTATTTCATTCCCCTACCAAAAAGGATGGTTTCTTTAGCGTTGGTTTGTCTGTTTGCTAGTGGTTACGATATCCCAAAATGCTCTTCGAGATGATGAAATTTTCGAGTTAACCCATTATTCCGATCATAATTTCAACTGCATCCGGGTCTCTTTATATGTTAAACAGTTTTGCCTAATTCCTTGGCGGAGGTCTACGCTCTCCGAGTGCTCAATAGATTTAACACATTGAAATCTGTCTCATCTTGTTTCGTACCTTTGTGATTTTCTTTGTAATGTCTGATAATTCGTTGTTATTGCTATTTTCTGATTGCATAAAATGGAACATTAAATAATTATTGGTTACAATAATAATGGTTAATTATTTGCAGAGGCAGAATCTGCCGACGAACGCTTGGAAAAATCGGACACAGCAGTTGTCCTTCGTTCTGATACGAAAATTCTTCACAGGCAAAAAAGAGGTAAATCCTTTTTAAACAGAATTTTTTAATTATTACTTTCTTTAGTTCAGGAGCTTTTGGAAAGTTAAATACCTTCAATTAACACTGGGATCCATCATTGGACCTAGATTTGATTCATAAAACAAACTTCATTAATCTTCAAATTTACATACTTACATGTAAAATGATTTCATTGAACATATAATGTAAAATTTGCGATAAAATGCTCAACTGTGACGGATGGAACACATTTTTCCAAAAAGTCCAATCATGACAAATGAGTATAATATTTCAGTATAAATTGTGTGCTTTCCAATATTTCAGTTCTCCCAGTGTTGGTTTTCATTCTTGTCAACTTCTGGGATGATTTGGTCTGTTTGGGGCTGAATTTGGCAACCATGTTCAACTGTGGAAGCTTGACGCCAGGCACATGCCAAAAGTGAGTAAAAATTTTAGCCGAGCATTGTAAGATCAGCAAAAAGCTGTAATAGTAAATATTATGAAAGTAGGACCATGAAAATTAGAGGGCTATGTAAATTATGACGTAGTCAGCCTTGTTCGTGTGGTTTCATTTGCATTTCAAAATCCATGGGCAAGTAACTCTCTCTCTCTCTCTCTCTCTCTCTCTCTCACACACACACACACACACACACACACACGCGCGTTGTTTTAATGCTCTAAAAACATCACCTTTGATATTCAGGATTAAAGACCTCGACAAAAAGAGAGACCGGATTAAGAGAAAAGTCAACCAAACTCTCGACGAAGAGGCCCACTGGAGCGTCCTCAACCGGACCAATGACAAAGCTATCACAAGCCTGTATATGATAGGGAAAGAACTTGAACTCGTAGCCAGCTCAAATATCCGTTTAATGGAGAATCTTAAAGCACTAGAGGTGGTGCAGGAACAGTCCGAAGCCTATGTGCCCGATGACAACAACAATCTAATCGAGCAACAAGTTCGATTCCGCATGAATGTGACGCAGTACCTGAACGGAATGAAAGGGGTGTTGGAGGGCGTGAGGGGACAGCTCGATATGATGCAGAAGAAAGATTATATGTATTTTGCCATGGCAACTGCAATTCCACTGCTTGCCATGCACACCGGATTGATCACGACCTCGGCAAGAACGGCGCTGTTGACCCGATCGCAGAACTATCAGGTTGTTGAATTATTCGGGAAAAAAGGCTCATACCAGCTTGCGACTAATCCGCAGGGGAAGATGTTCATTGTTCAGGAAAACCCCCAAAAACTTGGGAAGCTGAAAGTCTATGCGAAACTGGACAGTAACGGAAAGGTGGGAAAATTCTGGAAGTTCATGATGCCATCGGGCCAAAGAGCAGCAACCAACAGTTTCTTAAATTCTATAGACTTCAAACAAGCCCAACGAGTCGTTAAGCTGCAGGCCCTTGATCCGGACTATCTTAAGACTTTGAAGAAAACTGGTTATACTTCCGCATTTCTCAGATCTACAGATGGACTGGATTCTGCAAAATTCACCGAATTCGTCAACAACGCAAAAACTAAACAGCCAAAAGCTTTGTACGGAGCAAGCGCCGCCACCGACGCAAGCCTTCCGAAGTGGATGCGGCAGGTCGTTTCTCCATTTGATCCAAGTGACGTAAAGGCAGTGAGCGCGTACAACAAACTTAAAGCCGCCAACCCAGCGCTCCTTGCAGATCTTGAAAAAACGGGGAAAATAGGTGAGCCTTACTTTTTACCTTGCAGCATGGTCTGATCTATACATGATATTAATATTAAATCATCCCTAGTTGTTATTTAACATTTTGTGTCCATAAGAAAATAAATAACGCATATATACAGGTGCACCATCTGCAGTTAATTTCTTTTTTAATTCAGGATGTGTACAAAATATACATATACATAAGTAGCTATCGAATTTGCATATTGTTAGTTAGTACAATGAAGCAGATGGAATAGTACTGTATCGAACCGGGGTTAATTTGAATTCTCCACTTCAGGCAACTTCCTCGACAAATCCAAGGGCTTGCCTGACGCTGATTTTGACGATTATGTCAAAAAAGTTAAATCCGCAAACACTAACGTTGACGGCCTCAAGAACTTTGACTTCGACGCCCCGGCCAAGAAGGTGAAATGGGGAAGCTGGCAGAAAATGAAGAGCGGATGGAGATCGTTTTCCAACAAGAACTTGTTCAATTTCAGAGGAAGAAAGGTATGTCTGCAGTTAGGGAGAATGCACGCCTATAATGTATTTTGCGTTCATTCTTTTGTATGACCTCTTTCGTCTAATGTATGAATCTACCTTTTTTGCCCACTATACTTCATACAAATTGCCTGTCTGATCGTGTTTGCTTAAACTTGGCGAATTTTTGGTGTGAAAAAAATTAAACATCTGTATATATTAACGGCGCTCTTTTATTGAAAAGTAGTATAGGCGACATAAAAGAATCCGACGTATTGCACATGTAGCACTGGTTTCTAAATATAAACCATTTTGCGCTTTCATTTGCAGATTNGGTGTGAAAAAATTAAACATCTGTATATATTAACGGCGCTCTTTTATTGAAAAGTAGCATAGGCGACATAAAAGAATCTGACGTATTGCACATGTAGCACTGGTTTCTAAATATAAACCATTTTGCGCTTTCATTTGCAGATTAAAGTAGGTTCTGTCTTGAACGTTGGTACCATAGGATCTGTGATAAATGTTGGACTGTGCATTTACATGGCCGTGTCCAGTACCATCAGCGTCAACGACAAGATTAAAGAAATCAACAATCGTCTCACGGAAGCGGAGTCCGGCGTCGACTTGAAATTGGAAGAATTAAAAAACCTTACCAACTACGAAAGAGAATTCTTCGGCAGGCTCAAGAACAACTTCTACGGTGTTGTCAGCATGTTCGATACCAGCGAGGACTCCACCGGTGTTGCCGCCGACCCCAACTGTAAGGATACTCTCTGCGTATTCCTACGAGAAGCCGCCAGGTTGAATGCTATCAAGAATTACGTAGCAGCTTGGCCAAACGCCACCATTACCAACAGAACCATTTTGGAAGCCGAGGCGGCCTTCCTGAACGTTCTCACCAAATCCAAATTCACCCTTGTCCAGCTGTATCGCCAGTCCGAGATGGTGGCTCAAATTATGACCTGGGTGGCCAGCAAACTGTCCATCACCAGAATGATGCAGAATGCAGCGGCCCTTGCAAGACCCTTTGAAAGCATATACGATCTGCTTCGTCTCATCGCAAGAGCTTTCCCTGAGACGGGGGAGTACACCGGGTACCCTTTGAAATGCATCCGCTCGGGGAGCATAGGAAGCCAACAAGAATTAGACGCCTGGATGGCCAGTAACCAGGTGAAATCACTTGATCCTAAAGTGACCTCATTCATTGACACTGGGTCCAGCTTCGGAAGTCCTATCAATAACATCCTTTCTTTGATCAACACCCGAATCAACAAAGGAGACTTTCCGGCCAATGCCTGTGGCGGTGGGCCCTGCACCCGAAATGACGTCATATCGGTAATAGCCAATGATGCCCTTCCAAATCAGGCCACGTATGACGGAGTTGACCTTGCTCCTTACAGACAGCGGACGGTCGTCTGCCCGAACTCAACGACTACTCCAACTCCAACTACAACAACAACTAAACCTACGACCAAAATCCCGTCGTTGTCAAAGTCAGCGATCTCCAATATTTTCAAAAGCATTAGCAATAGCATGAAAAGAATGCGGTTCCGCTACCGATGGGGTCGCAAAAGACGCTAATTATTAAAAGATTATAAACGTAACAAAAATGCTTTATGATTACCTAAGAAAGAATGAAATTTTTGTTGATGTAGTCACATGACTATAATTGGCACTTTTGTTGTTATTCTTGAGATATAAAGTAGTAGTATTATTCTTTAATGTTAAGCTTGAACATATCCGTATATGTGACGTCGTGACGGACAAGCGTACCGTACGTACATTGCATTCTCTAACTTATGTACTTTCACAGGGGGTTCCATAATTTGATTCTTTAGGTTTTACACTTTAGGTTATACACTGGTATACCTTTTTTTTTACTTTCACCGGATGTACATAACTAAGGCAGTGTGTACGGATGGATATTACCCCGTCATTATTTTTGTTAGTGTATGGTTGTTTAATTGATTAAATGAAACATATTAGTCTTAAAACCTAAACATTTTTGTTTATGTTTATTTTCGTGCGAGAAAATGGATACGTATCAGTACATTCAGAATAAATTGAGTGGACATTTCAGTATATTTCATTGACATTTCAGCATATTGAAATAAACGGATGAGATGCCCAATGCTTCATATTTATTTATTGACGCCACATATGTAAGCCTACCACATGCATGCTGCGACCGATCAAAAATAAAAAGGGGGGGGGGAGGTGGGGGTGGCTGCAGTAGGCCTATAATAAAGTTGATTATCTGATTATAGTGCTGCTTCTGACCGAAATATAGGCACAGGAATATATTGCAAAACTTCTGTAAAACGAAATTAATAATAGGGCCTATTTACCGCCTTGAGCTATATTTGTGTTTACATGTAAGATTATATGTTAATTTCTCTTCATAATGTTTATCAAAGGATATCCTAGTAATGAAAATGGTACTAGTCGTGTATGGGAGCGCTCGTATTTGGTACGATAGGCCTACTAGCATGCTATCACTTTGAAGCAAATAATAAACTGGTGGTTTCTGAAATATTTGAAATCTTTCTGTTTTGTCTCGATGTCAGTTTTGAAGTTACGTAGGCCTAATCTCCGCCTTGAAAAACTTTGGGCGCTTAGGCCATCTTGATTACACAAAGTGGTAAAGAAATTCAACAGGCCACATGAATCTATGTTGGAACAACTAAACGAGATTTTCCATGTACAACAATCTTTAAATGCATATTCGGCATTCTTGGCAAACAATCACGCGAAGGAACTAGGCCCAAGCACCAAATTGTAAAAAGTTTTTGTTTTTTTTTATTAACACTGAGGTTGAATTTTTTTTTAATCTACCCAATAAGTCTTTTTTCATTTTTTTCCCAGTTAATTAAACCGGTTGTCTACTGACTGTGGCTTTTGAACTCAAAACAGTTTCAGTTTGTCTGATAGAAGCTTTGTAGTTTTAAAGTTCAATCTGCAGCGTTTTCCGTTCTTAAGGCAATCAGGCGATAAACCTGCAGGCACAACACAATGGCGTTTTTGCAAACAAAAAACAGCATGGTGTAGCTGGAGAGTCCGTAGTAAGCAATAGCCACAACACGAATCACGAAAAACGGAAGATCTTGCATGAAGACTATCACCAGGATGCCGGTGATCTCGGACTCGCAACATCTGTAGAGGCAAACCACTTCATTGCCGCCGCCATTGTCGTCTGTAATATCGTCGGTTCCATTCCTGGAAGACGACCCCGCAGATGGGCTCCCAGAAATCTCAGTCCTGACGTCCTCCTTGGAAACGGTCCCTGTTGATATATTGGAGATGCCATCGCCATCTAGTGACTCGATGAACGTATCCATTTGTCTGTTTTCATTGGGCAGTCCCGTTTTGCTGCTGCTGCAGTGACTGAGAGATGTCGCTGGCGTCACTGTCGCCATTTTGGGCATTCGTTTACGTCTGCCGGTCAGAACAAACGTGAACTGGAGAAGGCTCCAAGACCAGGCAGCCAATATGCTCAGAATAAACTCCATGTCTGGCAGCTTATTTTTGTCGATGAAAAATCCAATTATGCCAAAAAAGTCAATGATGTCAGACGCAAGACCAAGGTATACCAGTAGGAGATGCGAAAGTTCGTCGCGTGTTAGCTCTCCCTTCGGTAGCAGCCACCGCCCAAGGATTAAGACGACCAACAGAGACTGCTCAATGTACAGCGCCCACTCTCCGGCGGTGAAGTTGAGGGAAAATGTCACTTCATCTGGAATCTTCAGTAAAAGAAAAAAGAACAAAAATATTTTAAATCGGCATTATAGGCCTATTCATTTCCACATTTAAGAAAAAAATTGGCAGATGATGCATTTTTAAAAAAATTCTTATACAGCAAATATAGGCCTACTGCAAACAAAACACTTTTGAGAGCACTTTTCTTTCCTTAGGGCGTGTAAAAGTACCTTTTATTACAAGCTATCAGAAAGAAACTTGTATTTTGTAAGAAGAAATAGTTATTATATAATCCTTAAGATAAATGTACTGTGTCCTAACGTGTGGGCGTCCATGTAGTCGCCAATTTGCTTCGTCGCCCCCCCCCCCCTTCATCCTTGAAGCGGAAGTGAATTCAGACATGGCAAAAACGTCAAAGCGCAATTTACACATTGTGTTCTTAAGACACCATTGAAAGCGTTTTATGCATCCACATCCTTTGTATATGTAGGCTACATTTCAGCTAATAACAAATTCATAATTGTCATGTCACAGAGCACGACGAAGATGGCTGGTACCAGTACAATTCAATATTTGATCACCTGATTAAAGGCATACGCAGCGATTTTGTCCTATGCAAACAAAGTGAGTTTTGGGATTTTAATTTTTATTAAAATAACAGCGCAAGACTTTTAAACGCGATGTATAAAACATTTCAACATAATTTGCTATTTATGTGTAGACCTAGAAGTTCTAGTGACGAAAGGCCCTTATAAATTACTGACAGGGCCACAGAAATCCAAAAATTGCTTTTCAAAAATTAAATTGGGTGATGAGGGGGTGGCGCTTCGTGGATTATTTCTTTCAAATATTTCGCCCCAATAATTTGCCTCCTATACGCCTTTAAGTGCAAAGTGTTCTTACCCCTATTCCAAACTGCATGGACCATTCCGTGGACTCATTGGTGGTAGTTGTATTGGTCCGAATACGCTCAATTTTGTCAAGCTCTATAAACCATATAGCGGGTACCACGCTCATCAGGTAGAATAAAAAAGAAGGGCAGTACCTGAAAAGATATAATATCGCATCACTTATTCGTGAAATAAATAAGAACATTGATGGATTCCTCATTTGGGGGGAAGGGGTAAGGAGGAAGGGGACCTCTGAAATGGCTCAATCTACCGGTATTCTAAGATTAAACATGTAAAAAGCTCACTTTTGGTAATGAAAGTAAATATTTAAGAATGAAACACGATTACGATCCCTTTCTCTCTCTCTCTCTTTCTCTGTGTGTGTGTGTGTGTGTGTGTGTGTGTGTGTTTTACATAAGCCTGAGGGTAAGCCATGCCGGGGAAATGACATTAGAATTCTTCCACCCCGTGTACCAGTCCATTCTACGTGATCCTGGTATTCTATGTAATCTTTTACGGTTAAAACCTCCGTTTAACCCTTTAACAAAAACAGAGATAAATTGATACAATCAATAATATCCGCGAGACAATTAAACCCATTTGTAGAACTAATCCAATCCTTTAAACTATGAACACAGAACTCTCAGGCGGTTCTACCTTGACGCTACAAATCTTCCCTTGTCAACTGAAGTGCGCGCAAATAATTAAGCAAACTCCACTCGGTCGTCGCCATCCACAGAAAACAATTACAATGACGAGCACCCGGCAGTAATATAGGTAATATAGCAATGGTGTTTGTCCTTTACTTCACAATGACAGCTTACAGTTATTACATCAATTTTGAAGCATTTAGGAGCGGAAACAGCTATTAGAAAACGGCATCACTCGATTTTCTCTTAAATCATTTTCAAGTCATTTTTATATCGGCCTGTCAGTTCCTGGATGCGTGTAATTTTTTTTATGACTGCTGTCAAATTCCGCACAAAAGCTTTTATGTGACTGGGCGGACAAAACACAATTGTAATTCTCATCAAAATATTTCGTGTGCTATTTGAGAATATCTATTTTATCATAAACGCCCGTCAAGTATTGTTTGCGCCAAACCGAGTACAAACTTCCATCTATGCCCAACAATATTTAGGTTATGCTCACCTTTGTTTATTTATTATTAAATGGGTTCACTTCTGCCGTTAGGTAACCAATTTACAGCGGATGGTATATCTTAGAGTTAAGATATGCCTCTACACAGAATTGATGCTGCCATTTACAGAGTTTCTATACAGGTATTTGACGAACCGGTAAATCGTATCATGCTACCTCTTTTTTCTTCGACGGCGGGTAATTTTACTATAAAATGTACTGCACATGGATGAAAAAACCCGTCTCATTTTGCATAGTTTTAGGGGAAAGGGATTCTTCCAAAATTGGTGGGTGGGGCACGTAAACTAATGTACCCTCCCCTAGATTCGACTTAAGTCTTGTGAATACCGATGTCACTTTTACTGTATCAGGCAGGTGTGATATTTATTTCATCGCCTAACCTGCATGTTAGACGACTTTAATCAATCCCCTATACAGCTTTGACAAATTAAGTGTCAATATAATTGGTTATGTGAATTGTCTCCGAGTTCGTGGCATTTGCTCTATCTGCTTCGCAGTGTGAAATCAGCATTTTAAAAATCAATGATTACTAATCACTTTACGATACTGTACATCTGTTTTGTCACTTAGATAGAACTGCACCGAGAGAAGCACATGACCCGCTGAAGTTTGAAGCCGTGCAATCATCTGAGGAGTTGTATTGAGGGTTCGTTCCGGGTATTAATAATTTTGGTTTATAACATTTGCTTCTACACTGTACTTACTAATGAAAGGAAATATTCCTAGGCGTCGAACTGTTTTTAATAATGAGGGTGCTGAACACACATACTCTCTCTCTTTGGTTTTCTCTTCAACTCGCGTGCGGGTGCAAACATAGACGCACAGACACACACTTTGTTAAATCATTCATTCGTTTATCCTTAATATTTATTATTTACTTAATTGCTATTGGGAAAATTAAGTCTCTACTGCAAATGCACCAAACTAATTTTCAAGCTGATATGATTATTTTATTTTTCACGCGAGGTTGAAATAATTGTGTTTTGTGCGAGAGCATTCAGTCGAGAAATCTGCAATTACCATTAATAATATAATGATATACAATACAATGACCGTATTTTATTATCATACAGCATACATATCTAGTACTCTGTCAACTACAGTGTCATAAAGGATAATACCTAAATGAGAAGGAAGACGATTATAAAAGTGTTGATTCAGGGGGAAATAAGGGTTTAATTGACCTATATCTGTGGAATTGTTCAGGTATTCCTGTAATTTAGCGTCAACAGAAATGTAGTCTTTGGAATTACGAATAAAAGATAAACATTATTTGATTGAATATACGTGTAGATTATAAAGAATTAATCTGAGTTTTTTTTCAACATTTAGTATTAATATTAATGTGATATAGCAAAGCCTACCAACCATTTAAATTAAACGACAACAACATCAACTATTATTATTATTATTATTATTATTATTATTATTATTATTATTATAAGTTCAACTAGCACTACATATACATGTGCATGCATATACGGACATTTATCTCTTCCGAATAAGTTTCTAAATATATAGGGCCTACCACAAATAGAATTATATGATACTTGCTTTTACAACTCAATTAATTAAATCCTCAAGCTACATATATGATATGCTCCCTACCCTTTCCATTCCTCCCCTTTCTTCTTGGCCACAATGATGAGCGTTTCTAAAAGAAGCAGACCCAGAGAACTTGCCAGAAGCCACCAGTAGTCTCCTTCTGGTCGGATTTGGGTAACTCTCCATATGGCAACAAGGGAATGGCAAGCAAATATCAGTCTTGTAGCCACGGCTACGAACGCTGCAAAGTTCCCCATCTGAAAGCCGGTTGTTTCAGAGAGTTGCCCACGCCTCCAATGGTTCCCCTCAGCAAGTAATATCGGTCTTTGCAATCGCTGGATTTAGTTGATGTTTTCTTTGGGCAACATATAGTGTGCTGTCTGCCTCTGTTTCATGATTTAATACTCAGTGAAAGCGCTTGTGAAAAATGCCGGTCTCCAAGGCGGGTGTGATGGCGGAAACTGCCTTAAGTATATGTAACGCGCTCGGATGTTGCTCGCAATCGGTTCTCCATGCGGGTAGCAATGGAATGCCATGTCCTAGAATGACGCAAAGCATACCTTATCTGTCGCAACTAGTGTTCACTAATTTGATTCTCTATGTTGACATGCAGCAATTCTATATAGATGAAAGTTTTGGTAGCAGTCTATTTATTTACTTTGTAGTGAGGTAATTTGTTTGCAATTATGTCTATTAGCCTTGATTTTAGACCTACTGTGAAATAGAGTTTCTATCAACCCATTTATGAAATAAATCTGTTTAAAATTTACATAGCATATCTTTGGTTTTTAAAATATCGCACAGTACGCCTATTTTTCAATTTGTTTAATTTTACGTCCAAAGTAATATTTGCACTTGATGATGTAAATTTTATTATTAGCAAAAGCTGAAAGAAATGGGAGGACATTCCCTCAAATATTTGTGCATCTGCCAGCCACTTTCACTAACGAAACTGTTCTCTTAGTAATACCTCTTATCTTTATTTCATATTTAGACCAAATTATTTTTAAATTAAGGGTGGCGTAAATACCGGGACACGCATGTCTGTTTGTTGACAAAAGCCTCAAAGATAACTTTAACGCTTCAATTCCACCATTTAGGATGTTCACTTTCATTTCCACGCGTCATACAACTCGAAATTGCATATATCAATGCATTTAAATAAAATAAAATACTTTAAAAATAAATTAATCTAAATAAAATTTTACGGGATATTCACTCCGTATTCAATTTTCATTAAAAGAAAAACACTTTTCTCCTTCTCGCGACTCATTGCGCCACCTGACCCTGCACTTGGATTCTTTGTTTATTCTTGCCAATTCCAATCCAGCTACCTACCGGGTAGCTATGAAAAAATCAAGATTCGCTTAAACACCTCCCATATCGTCCTGACTTTTCAGGGGAAATATCGACATCAGGTGCTTTTATTTGAGGGCTTTGTCGTTTTTTGAGAATTGAAAAGGGATAGATAAGTAGATTGGTAGATAAAATGTGATTTTCCTACCGCGTATATATACCATAGTACCAGTATGCCTTTTAGTTCACCTTTACGTATACGTATAAGACCAGTCCTGCGTCGTCAAATATTAATTTTAAGCACGATTAACCCTATATTTAGATTAATGTATTTATCAGGTTCCTTGAAAAGAGTCATAAACAAAGAATACAGTATGCCGTATCGCCCGTATGAGTTATTTTTATTCCTTTCAATAAGGTTTTAATATCGAAAAAATAAATAGTTTTGATTTATAACCATATCGTATCATACATGTATGTCATGGTAAATGTATTGCTGATGCATATAACGGCTTCTTCTTCGTGAATGTTTCATAAAAGTCGTTATATAATGTGTATCTGACGTATGGTGAGTTATGTAACATGTCCATGCAAATATAACTTTAACTGCGTCACTCTGCAGTGTCTGAAGTACTAGTAGACGTACACGTAATGGCGACGTTCATAACAAGTCTGTGTCAGATTTTGAGTTTAGGTGTACCGGTAACGGCAGCCTTCAAGCGTGCTTTGTTAGGCCCCGATATTTGAAAATTGAAGTCTAGTATGAAGTTAATGAGGTCGTCTCTTGTCATATGATCTGCAGCTTTGGACATGCCAGGAGCATACCAAAAGAGGTACATGTACTGGTACATGTGCGTCTCTCACAATGAATAGGGCCTACGTCTGGTGATTAACAAGAATGAAAAGAGTTATGAGTTTGTTCAGTAAATTTTTATTTCCAAACAATGTAAATGAATTTAAAAATACCAGTGCTGGCATGATAATAATTTCAATGTTACGCTCGCCAGCGTGCAAAAAGCCGCTACCACGTACAATGGCATCGAAATTATATACATTCTAACTTCTAAGCCATCATATCTCTCCGTTTTTTTTTTGCTTTGAAGTTCAGATAATTACTTTGGTGTCCCCTTTCAAATTAATGTTGAACGAAATTTCATTTATTTGGAAGTCAACAGTAGGCCTAGAATACACATCCGAGATTCAGAGGAACTTATTTTGGGTGCAACATGTACATGTATATATTTTGGTGGAACGAGACCATTGGCATATAGACAAATAAAATGTTTTTTTTTTTTTTTTTAAATTAAAATCAACAAACAAAAAAACCTTTTCTCCTATTTAGGCCGACTACCTCGGGGGAAAAACAGGTGTAACAATGCTTTATTATTATTATTATTATTATTATTATTATTATTATTATTATTATTATTATTTGTTTCTCATGATTAATACAACGAAGAGGATAGTGGAATTGTGCTTTCCAACCCTGCAGCAGGTACTGATTAAAATTTACAGTGGAACAAGTTTACAAATACAAATCTGACTGATTGCTTAATTATGTTCGCTCTATCTGTACATAGCCTATTACGGGGCGGACTTGCTGCGTTCCTGGTCGTTTGTGCGTGTGCTTGGTTTTATTTTCCATATTACATTCCCTGTTTAAATTAACTTGTTCTTGATTTACATAATTTTATCTTTTATTTACTTTTGTCAATCAGTTAGGCAAATATGACACCATCTTTTCTTGTTTAGTGCTGCACTAGCGATAGCTATTGATTTCCCATTTAAGGGTGAAGGACATTTGAAAAGTGAATAGTTGTTACATTAGCAGAAGTCGCATTTGTAGTCGAGGGGTGCTTTTTCTCGGTTGCGAGTTTCACAACCACCTGCATATGAAAGCCCTAATTAACTTACACAAAAACTTTCGCCTTGCACTCAAGAGAGTCACGTGTTTGAGAAGGATGACCGACACAGGACAAAAAGCTTCGACGAGCACGTTGTCGTCAGCCTCGCCCTCTGCTCTTTCCCTCTCCGATGTCAGACCCGTAGTTGCTGTGTGCCAGTTAACTTCGACCTCGGACAAGGAAAAGAACTTCAATGTATGCAGAGCTCTTATAGAAAGAGCGAAGAAGAGAGGGGCAAATGTTAGTAGGTTTAGTTGTACGCTTCTTGTTTAAAAAATAGAGAATTTCTATGAATGATTTTGGACACGTGCAGTGTAGAAAATGGCGGAGTACCAAAATTTTCCTTTCAGCATTGCGTCAGCCATTTATAATATGAAGGCAAAAGGGAAAAGCTGGTTCTCCCTTTATCGCTTTATTGGGGACTGCCACTCTAAACAATTAAGCACATTTTATACATATTTATCTTGTGTTGATTAACATATATTCAGGTGCTTTTTTGCTTGTTAACACAGATTAAACAATGTATTCATGTATTTTAAGTGTGGCTCAGAAAGTAAGCTCTTTCATAAAGTTTTAAAAAACCCATCTTATTTTCTCCCTAAAATCCCTTCCCAAGGCACTGAACCAATGTGTTTTACACTGCCTTTTTTCCAGTACAGTGTATGGGTAACAAAGAAGATGCCATACATGTATACTTCATTTCATTTAATGGTATATTACAGCCATCCAGTGGTATGCCATTAAACTACACAACCTAGGCAAGAAATTATGCTGAAGCATCCAGTTTTCAGCCAAGGGCACTGCCCATGTGGGGTCGACCCTAAACCATGTTATTCTGATATGTACTTATTATAATAAGAAGAAATAAACTACCTTAAAAACTTAACACATCCACACAGGGGTTTAACATGTATGTACATTTACTTTTAAATATTTCAGATGGTATTTCTCCCAGAATGCTTCGCCTACATGTGTGAAAGTACTGACCAATATTTGGCTGCGGCAGAAACCATGGAAGGAGAAATCGTAGCAAAGTACAAAGAGTTGGCACAGTCACTGCAGCTTTGGCTATCGCTTGGTGGATTTCATCAGAAAGTGAGTTTGTTGTTGTTGTTGTTGTTGTTGCACACATGTATGCACTAAAGAAAAAGTCACTTAACCTTTGTCTTGGTGGATTTCATCGGAAAGCATGCTCATATGCTTGTTTTATTCCCCCCCCCCCCCCCCCCACACACACACACGTTCATAAATGTACTTGAAGCATTTCATGTGCCACAAAATTTTCTTTGAATTATTTGTGTATGTGCAACTGTACATAAGTGTAGGCAGTATTGTAATGTATTGTTTTTTTCCTTTCACTAGAATTCTTCAATTTTCTCCCCAGGGCCCAGCGGACGACCCAAAAAGACTTTGGAACACACACATCATTATTGACAGCCAAGGGCATATAGCAGCTCAGTATGATAAATTGCATCTCTTTGATTTGGACATAAAAGGGAAAGTTTCACTAAAAGAGACTAATTTCACTATTCCTGGAAATAATGTTGTGCCACCAGTGGAGACCCCTATTGGAAAAGTTGGCATGGCTGTGGTATCCTTATGAAAAATTGTACTGATAGTAGCAATATGTATGCGTCACATGGAATGTACACAGCTGCACTCTTATCTGTTGTGTATTTTTAATATCCTTGATGTTAAATACAGAACTGCTGAGATAATGTAGTAGATTATACCAAGGACGTTCTTGATTATACATAACCACATGGGAATTAAATTGAAAAATACTTTTAATTTGCTATTGTTCTTACACAGAAATATGAAATTTGCATTACTATGTATTTTGCTTTTTAAATTAAATTGATATATTAAAGTTCTTGTATGCCCACAATCATACAGATATTTGTGTGCACATATGTATGTGTATACAGTCTGAACCTTTCAAACTTAAAGTGATAATAACTCTTCGTTTCGGCCAAAAAATGAATTTTCCTGGAGTAAACAACAATTTTCCCATACTTAACCAATGGTTAATGAATCCATTTTTACATTCAAAGTTAGTCCCTGGTTTTTTTCTAAAAAGTTAGCCATCAATGGAGGTCACGTGGTCTAAAGACAAGCTCAGATATCAGAATAATAGCTATAACAGCCGTTTTTGTGGGAAAACAGAATATATTATATTTTTATGAGTCACTCACAATGTTTTTATTGTGAAATACAGATTTCATACGAAGAGTTATTATCCCTTTAATCTCCTTAACCGCCAAAGTGCTATGATCTAAGATTCCCCGAGATGTCTTCTTACTTAGTTCAGCAGGGAGCAGAAATCTTGACGTATCCTTCTGCCTTCACTCAGACCACAGGACTTGCCCACTGGGAGGTAACGTACTCTGGTCCGTCCTTTTTATGATCTTATGTCACAAACTGATAATAGTAAATATACAGTGAATTGTTTCAAAGGAGATTACTTACTTTTACCTATGAAGGATGGAGCGTCTGCTTTCTCTAAAGGATCTTGATCAGTGCTCACAAAATTAATCTTTTGATCCAATTAACATAGTTTTTTTTATTATCTTTTGCACAAGAGATGATGAAAAATCAGTGAAATAGTATTTAGGCACATCACATTTTCCACACTTTGGCACGTGATTTGAGATGCATGATCCCTGGTGTTGCATAGGAATTACAGTACTCGCTGTGTACGGTACTTGAGATGCAAGCACTTAATTTTTCCATGTTTATTTCTTGAACCATGAATTTATTTTATTAAAAACTGCAACAATACATTATAAAATTCACAAACTTTGTTGCTTTTTTAAAAGTTAATACAGTGAAACAAAAGAAACAGACCATCCTCCAATGCACATGGTTTTATTACCTGTTAATAAATAACAAATATACATTTTTTTACATATTATTTCTCGGTTTTCCAGGTATTGCTCCGTAGTCGTGCCATAGAGAACCAGTGCTATGTGATAGCTGCAGCCCAGACGGGCAGACACAATGCTAAGAGGACCACTTATGGACATGCTATGGTATGGTTAGAAATCATTCACCCATTCTGGAGCCTTTTCACAAACTGCTTTTAGTCTAAAATCAGTCTTAGCAAAAAAGTTGAGAATTTTAGCAAGTAAAGCCACTTATCTCATTATGTTGATGTTTTAGCTTAGTCCCTGGATCATATTTGGTTTCAATTATTTTGACTGTCAGTTGTGACAGAAGCCCATTTACTATGTCGGTACTTAATTCAGCCACATTTTTTAGTGGGCTTTTCATTTGTTAGTACAACACTCAGACAATAATATCATTGTAAAGTCAGCTATCCAGTTTTAGAACTCAAGGATATTGAAAAAAAATATTTTAAGACAGTGAATCAGCTGCCAGGGCCTGTAAATTTTGCTAAAAAACTTTTTTTCAGCAACAAAAATACTAATCTTGAACTAAATAAATTGGTTTTATCTTTAGTACATTTTCAGTGCTAGCATGAGCTCTTGCAGTTACATTACACAAATGTTAAAACTATTGCACTTATTTGTCGGCTTCTTCAACTGTTGCATTTCATCTTTATGCTTTATAGATGAGAACAAAAAGTCTTGCAAATTCAATATCATTTGTATGTTCAACAAAGATTTTACTGAGAATTAAAACCTCAATATTACATTATACAGGCTTTCTGTCAGTTGTGCCTGTGTGTTAGAAACTTACAAGGCAACTTTTTTTTTTATAAAACGGTCCCTACCGTGTTTTAAATGTATGGCCTTCTTTGATGACCTTGACCTGACCTTGACCCTGTAGGTTGTTGACCCCTGGGGCTGTGTGGTTGCTGAGTGTCATGAAGGTGAAGATGTGTGTCTGGCAGAGATAGACCTGGAATACATGAGGAAAGTTAGAGAACAGATGCCTGTGCAGGAACACAGGAGGAGAGATATATTTGGTACCATGACAAATTTAAAGTCTTTAGGTAAGAATTAATTTAATATTGCAGGTTGCTACAAAGGCCTTGTGACATTAAGATGCCATGCATTTATGTATTGCTTATTATTATTATTTAATCAAGAGGATTTGTATATGGCAAGAATGACCCATGCTTTATCATTATAATTAACGCTAAAATTATTCTTGACATTTAAAGGAATTGGTAGAAAACACAATATACTAATTGTATATTTGTTTATACTATTTTTTGTACTTCATACTATGTATGGGTTAATAACTTCACTGGGTCTTCTAAATCATAATCTAAGGAAATTAGAATGATGATTTTAGATCTTTAGATCCATACGTTTTATTACTGACCATTAGGAATATGATACCCTTTTAGGTTTGTATGTCACCAGAACATTTAGTTTAGTAATGCTACAAAGCATCATATAAAGACATTTCATACTATTTCTTATTGCACATTTATATAACTTAGCCCCTCTAGATGAGCCCCGAAGCTACCAGTTTGGACAACACACAATAGACTCTTCCATAGTGTTTTACAAGACGGCATTAAGCCTGGCATTTGTGAACAGGAAACCAGTCCTTCCAGGGCGTATCCTTGTGTGCATAAACAGTTTGGAATTCCTGTAGGTGTGAAGTATCTGCATTGGAATACCATTGTTTCATATTCTGTTTGTTTTCAGAGACATGGGTTTTCTGGTTTATCAGTAGAGTAGATATGTTTTGGCCAGACAAAATAATGGATATTTAGTGTCAATTATTACCAACTTAAAGATGAAAATTTTATTGTGCAATCTAAAAACTTTCATGTTTATTAATGATTAATAATTAATAAGCTCTTCATTTTGTCCAGTCTTCCTTGTCAGGTCTTGAGCATTTGCATTTTGTTCTTTTTCTGACTGACAATAACTAACTTGCTTATAATAATTGGACCAGTTGTCTTTAATGTCTTGTTTCTTAAATTGACTAAACATAATTAGAATTATTAACCATGGAGCCATTTATTCGTGTTTGCTTAAGCACAGTTTGAGACAATTCTTGGTTAGAAATTCAATTTTTAGTTATGATTCGTGCAATGATCCTTAACCCTGCCCCCAGATGTCCTTGTCTGTCCACTACGTCCAGTGGAGAGATTTAATGACATGACCCCAGCAGAACTGTGCGACATGTTCCAGGTGGTCAAGCAGGTGTCTGAAGTAGTGGACAGAGAACACAACAGCACCTCGCTGACCATTGCTGTCCAGGACGGACCAGATGCTGGACAGACGGTGAAGGTATGACATGTCAACAGGGCAAATTCTGTGGCATTACATGATGACAAGTGACATATAACAGAGTTTCACAGCCAAAACCAGTTAAGGCATAAAGTTAATATTGGACTTATGACATGAATTGGTAAAATTATCATGTAGCTTGACAAGTATTCTTATACACATACATGATTATGATACATATATTTGATTATTAAAATGTGAAATTGCACCTCTTTAATTTTGTTTTACACATTTAAATTATCAAATATTCATGAATTGGGTTCAGAGGTATGTCAAAGGTTAAGTTGGGAGTTTTTTTTTAAATTTAATGTTTTATTTTTGTCAGCATATGCATGTTCACATCCTGCCAAGAAAGAAAGGTGATTTTGCCAACAATGATGACATATATCAAAAGGTAGGAACAAATATATATTATAAATGTGTTCTTAAACAGTTTAAAGATGAATGTGAATTATATTTTTAAGGACTTCTATATTAAAAGGTTTGAAGAAATCATAGATGGAGACAAATGTAGGTTACTGTATTATACTTTGACACATCCAAATTAAAGCAATGACGGTTGACAGGGTGACTTCTTCCCCACATTTTACCCATCTTGCGTATGCTGATTTTTTAGAAAGGCAAACAGAGTAACTGCACATGATTGTATCTTCTGCCTTCCTCTAAGCCTTCCTTTGCATTCTACTGTAAAACATCCAAGACCACAGCCAAGTCCCTTCACACTTTATTTTTTGTTTTTGATAAAATCCTTTGAGTTAGCATGTACAGGTGTTTAATTTGATTTTATTATTTTGAAAATGAAAAGCTTAAACTTTCACACTTTCCCACAGCTTGAAAAACACGATAAAAATCTAGATGGCACAGAAGAAACAAACTCAGGAAAATGGAGGACATTAGAAGATATGGCCGCAGAAGCCTCCAGACTCAGGACCTTGTTTAAATGAAGAAGGTGACATTTACTATCCTGAAAATTAAATCATAGATGGAGACAAATGTAGGCCATTATGAGCTGGCATTAGTGTCAGTTAGAAGATATATTAGCCAATTGTCTCTTATTGTTGTGAACTACTATGGTGCTATTACCAACTTCCAAAGACAAACAGGTTAACCTTAGATGTGGCTTCTAGTCTACAGCTAAACAGACAATTATTTATCCACATGCTCCAGGCACCTAATGTGTTAGAAGGCATCAGTGTTTGGCATCAAACTTAAGTTATTATGATATTGTTAAGCACTGTGATAGTGGTTTATCCATGTAGCTATAAGGTTTCACAGTTAGTTTTGAGTTAGTAATGCTCCATACCATACATGCTTTTGGAAAAATGTGATGAAAAAATGCTGTCCAGAATAATCATTTCTGAAGTCATTAGTGGGGATGAAGGTATGAAATTTAGTTTGTGGAGTGCCAAAGGCTTATATTATTGTTCTTATGATTATTATTATTATGTCAAAATTTCACTTTGGAATTTTTTAGTTATTTGGGGGGGGGGGGGGGAATTGGTGGATGGGGAGGTGAATTTCTATAAAGAATAAGTGCAAAAGCCTCTTGTATTGCTTGCAGTACTATTTATTAACACTGTGCATGAAGTGTTTGGTAATTCTATTTTAATTACGTTATTATGTAGTTCCATGTAGACCAGCATGTGCAGCTGTGGATGTAACCCAAACCTACATGTTACTGTTCACGAAATACATTCTATGGCGGGTTCCTCAACTAAATGGGTTATGTGAAACACAGAATATTTGCTTGCTCTAATTCCTTTCAATCATCATGTTTTTACTAAGAAACATAAAATGTCCTAATGTTTTCCAGACCTGTCATTAAATTTTAGGTGACCACAGATGACGTTAGATTTCTAAATTCATCAGAAGGAGCTCCCTTCAATCTCTCTTATTATTCAACATCCTTTCTCATTAATTCTGCATTCTACTTAAAAACTTTCTTGCTGTTGACTGAAAACCAGTCTTAGTCTTTCTGTCATTGACTAGTGGAAAGGGGTTGAATGATGGGTTAAAGGTTGCAGGTTTTCAGGGTCTTTCGGTCGTATTCCAACATAATATGAATCTTCCCCTCTCTTTCTTTTCAGTTCGGCATTGGGAATTTTTTTTTTTTACTTGCTTCCCTGGAGTTTTCCTGTCCAGGCCAAATTTTCTGTCTAATGTGTCTAGTCTGTATTGTCCATCGCTTGGTCCCACAATCCTTGAACGCTTGAGTATTAAAACAAAGACATATTTGTTTCAAGAGATGAGATTTTCACCTGAATCTAGATTTCCAATCACTCTTTTCATTGTTTTTCATTGTGCCTAGTATAGCAATGAATTCTATTAAGTCTTTCTGTTACACCATTTCCCAAAGGTTGATAGCTTGCTGTTCATGACTTCTCACTATTGCACAATTTACACATTTCTTTTATGAGACTGCTGTCAAAGTTGTTTCCCAACTGATCACTGTGAATTCTTTTGAGGGAACCCATAGTGGTATACAAACCTATTCAGTATACCTTCTTCCATTGTTTTCGCAGTTTGATTCTTTTCAGGAATGGCAATGGGGCATTTAGTGAAATGATCTGTTATAAGATGTTTTGTTACTCAACCTTTTACATCTCAAACCGGAGTTAATCCATGCACACTAATTCTAAGGGCTGAAAGGGTTCAAAACTCCAATAGTGTCCTTCTTTACCTTGAGAGCACAGTCTGATTGCCTCCTCTCTTGCCTTAAATACTATTCCTACTCTGGCAGTATTCCTGCCAAATTGAAATGATAATTCTTACGATGGAACCCAACTTTTCTTTTGGTGTCTCCGAAGCCTTTCTTGGTATTTCAAGGCTGCCATAACTTAGTGGGGTGCATATGAATCCACCACTATGTCTGATTCAAATAAAAGGAGAGAGTCATCCACAGCTTTAAGTGCCTCTTTTTGTGCTGGTGAAAATGTAGAAACCAGCCTAGTAAATCTGAAAAAGGTGTTTAGCTCTTGTTTTGGCTTTATCTATATCAACATTTTATTGCCGGAAAAACAATGCAAATGAGTGGGGTAGTTCTGCAGTATATGATGTAAAGGGAGATGGTGTAATATTGACTTCCTCACATACACAGTCACCATTTGTCATTCCTTGGCAGCGTATTATCAAACCTTCTCTCCTTTCTAAAAAGGGTAGAATGTTGTATAGCATTCCACTTGATACTGTCATCTTTTGGAAAGCTCTATGAAGTCCCTAGGGCAATGACTGTAGGCAACTTGACCAATTCCTGAAACAACTTTAGACCATGTATTTTCCAAGACCACATCCATGGTCCTTCTCTTTCAGCTTTACTTCTGGACTTTCGCTGTATTTGCCAGCAGGTCTCTCAACTGTGGATGCAGTATCTGGGAGTGATGCAACCAACTCGGCCTCCCATCTCCCCCTCTTAACAAAAGGGAACTGCTTCATGGGTAGTAGATACTGCAAATCATCAACGATCACAGATTTACTAGTTTCCAAGGTCTCGTCACTAGTCTCCACCTCCATTGGCTCTGATTTGATAACAGCAAGAGCATATTTTATTACACACTCACTGTTGCCATTACTAACCTTCACCTCGTAAGAATGAATCTGCACTGTGGGATCGACCCCCAACATAATATCCTTTGATGGGCCAGTAGGTACATTACCAGAGCTATAGAGTCCTTGCCAGAACTTGCCTTAGGTCTGGACACGGGTTCTAGTGGAGGTCCAATCACAGCCGGTTTAAGCCACGATACGGAAGCTGAATTCAGGGCCTTCATTTCCCAAGCCACTTCTTTCAGCCAGTATAGAGTGTACCCATTGTCCTTTCTCTTCAGCTTAGACATTTGGACTTTCGCTGCCTTCACTACCCAGTCTCTTTTGTTGCTGTTGTTGCTGATCAGATGATGGGTATGGTGTAACCAACTTGGCTACCATCCCCCCCCCCCTTCAATGAAAGGAACCTGTTCCCAGGGGAGCAAAAACTCCAGCTCATCTACAATGGTTCTGCCAGCTGCCATATCTGAAAGGATATAAAAAATGGAGTTTAGTTTTGACCAGAAGCTATACATGATGAACATTTATATTTTGTGATATCAAGAGCATCAGAAGGTGTAATGTTGACGCATGATCCATGATATCACTCATCACAATAGTCACACTGGGTCATAAACCTACCCCCATATGGCTGTTTATGTACACAATACTTACGTGTGTCATTTATATCACCCATAATACTAATTGAAGAAGACGTTAAGTATCCTGAAATCCATGCAGGATTTTTCCCCTTCTCTGCAAGGCATTAACCTGTCATGAATTACAATCAAAACCACTTTCTTCAGTTTGACTTGGTACAGATGGGCTGACAGCTTCCTGAATAACCCCAGGCCCTTTCCATGGTGATGATAATTTATGGGAGTTTTTCTTAATGTATGCCTAATAGGTCATGTTATTTATAAATTATAATGCATCCAGTAAATGGTAAGTAAACATATTGATCCTGTTGGTGATCATGTGTTTAGTTCTAAATACTCTTATTATTAATTAACAGTTGATACTGATATAGAAATGATTTACATTTTTTTCTGGAAAATTTCTTGTAGATGACAGGTTACTTACAATTTCACTATTTTTCTGGGACTGAGGCAACTAGACCAATTCCCAGAGCAACTTTAGACCATGTATTTGCTGTTTAAGAGGCAGTTTGACCTTCTTTGGATGCTTACCAACAGCAATGTATGTGCCCTGGCCATCTTAGACAACATACCCTTGGAGGGAAATGTCTCAGGGTCACAGTGCACAGCTACCGTACCACCAAACTCCACCTCCTAACCCCTGGCCACAGCTACAACAGGCTTCAGAGACTCAAAAGTACCTTGCTGCCAGTGGCAATTTGGGAGATTTCACAGTCCTGTCCAAATGATACGTAATGACTATCAAAGGTCATAACACATCCACCTTCCTAGATACCCCTGGCATGGTTAACTTTTTAATCCACAGCTCTCTGTGTGAATCCATGAGAGAACACGAGGTGAGCTTGAGAATCTTCCAGTGTACCAAACAACCAACAGAATTGCTAGGATTTAAGGTAAATTTTTCAGGACTTGTGCCCCCTACAAATTTACAAAGCGCTTTCATAACTTCCAGCTGAGCTTGAGTTAGCTCTGTATCTAGGAGAGAGATTAAATCCCCCTGTATCGAAGCCACATACTCACATAACATTTGCAATGAATGTGGTTGCATGACTAAACTGCCTGATGTTCATTTCCAGTGCCTTAACCCTTAATCCAAGACCCCAGGTCTGGAACCAAGAGACTTGTCAAAAATCAATGGAAGATGAACCAGCATATCGTGTGCCTTTTTGTTGGTAAATATTTCTCCACACTCTGGGATTATGCATCCTAACACCCCCCCCCCCCCCTCCATACCCAATACCCAATCCTAGACATATTAGATCCAGAAATGGAAATGGAGGACAATGGAGTTTGCCAAGTTGTCTTACTTGACTCCTTGGTGGTGAGGTTAGACACAACAGACAAGTGGCTCACGCTGTCTGACCCATTGTTGAATTTAGTCTTATATTTTAATTGCCTGTCTGACCCATTGTTGAATTTAGTCTTATATTTTAATTGCCTGTCTGACCCATTGTTGAATTTAGTCTTATATTTTAATTGCCTGTCAGAGTGTCTGACCCATTGTTGAATTTAGTCTTATATTTTAATTGCCATACGTGTAATTAAGCTCTTTTACTAGCCTAGTTGCTATTGTGGCTTTCGTCATCTACTTTTGTCATTAAGTCCAGTTACCTCCTTAAAAACCTTTAAGATACTCCTGGCACGGTAAACTTTTCAATCCACACCTTTCTCTGTGAATTCTTGAGAGAACTCCACATAAGCATGACAATCTTCCAGTGTACCAAACAGCCAACAGAAATGATTGAATTTAAGGTAAATTCCCCCCTCCCCCTCTAATGAGCCACATACTCACATATTGTTTACAATGAATGTGGTTGTCCAAAATCGCCAGATGTTCACCATTTAAAGCACCTTAACCTCAAAATCAAGACCCCAGGCTCAAAACCAAGAGACTTGTCAAAAGTCAACGGAAAATGAACCTGCATATCATGTGCCTTTTTGTTAGTAAAAATTTCTCCACACTTGCATATAGGAATTAAACCTATTACTCCCCCAATACCCAATCCTAGACATTTTAGATCCAGTAATGGGAACACAGGGCAATCAAGTTTGCTTAGTTCTCTTTTGAGACTCCCTGGTGGTAAAATTGGACACGCTGAACAAGTGATTGACTGACCCCTCAGAAACTGAGACCTTAGCCAAATTGTGAGCCTGCTGCCTTCTTGGGTGGTTATACTTTTCCTGTCCTACTTTGTTGAATATTAATATTTGTTGTATTTAGTCTTATATTTAAATTGCTTAAAGTGCTGTTTAGCTCTTACTAGCCTAGCTCTATTGCAGCTTTCTTCATCTACTTTATCTTTTGTCCGCAAGTCTAATTATCTCCTTAAAAACCCTTTAAGATACTTCTGGCACAGTAAACTTTTCAAACCACAGCTTTCTTTGCAAATTCTTGAGAGAACTTCAGATAAGCATGAGAATCTTCCAGTGTACCAAACAGCCGACAGAATTGATGGAATTTAAGGTAAAATTCCCCCCCTCTAATGAGTAACATACTCACATAAAGTTTGCAACAAATGTGGTTGTCCAAACTGCCAGATGTTCACCATTTCCAGTCCCTTAACCCCCAAATCCAAGACCCCAGGTCAGGAACCAAGAGTCTTGTCAAAAGTCAATGGAAGATGAACCTGCATATGGTGTGCCTTTTTGTTGGTAATTATTTCTCCATATTCTAGGATTAAACATCATACCCCCCCCCCCCATACCCAATCCTAGACAGTTTAGGTCCAGAAATGGGACTGGAAGAAAATGGAGTTTGCCCAGTTCTCTTACTTAACTTACCGGTCATGAAGTTAGATGCAATGAACAGCTGGCCGACTGACCCATCAGAGTTTCAAAATACCTATCAATCTTCCAAGGCTCTTCAGGTTAGATTATTTGGTGTGTTTGCTTCTTTCTAAGAGATTTTCCTAGACCAGATATTTTCTTAATAATCTCTCCCATTGCCCTCTTCACTTCATTCTCGTCGGAGGTTCTATGACAGGACACCTCTTCAAGGGTAACCGTGATTATCAATTGCAATAGCTCATCTCCCACATCCTCATAATGATCCCTGAAGAAGGATGATCTGTCCTACTAGGTGTCGGCTGTTGGATTTTCAACCATCCTCACTTCCTGTCTTGTGAACTCTTCTGCGTTGCCTCTAAAGCCTCTCTGCTTGTCTGAGATCTGCTTGTGGCTAAAGCTAGGGTGTTTAATTGCCAATAGCTTGGTTCATGTTGCGTTTGCTCCATTGTTTAGTTTCCTAATCAAGAGATTTGTATTTGGCACTTGGAATTTGTTTAATATAAGATGGCAGAATCTGGAGAATGTTCACACATGCAAAATTGGCATGTCAATATTTTGTGTACTGCGCTACATTCCAGTCTGTTTTCCATTAGCATCTTTTAGGGGAAAATGAGGACACCCACAAAGGCCCAACATATACTGACACAATCTGGTAAATGTATCGGCAAATGTAAATGAATGAATTCTCCCCATGTAACATTGGAAACATTGCAACAAAATAATTCAACAGCATTTAGCTTCTTTGAATATCTTGCACTGATACACTGTCTTATAACATAGGGTGAATATAACTGACGACATTGATTTCATCAAACAAGTTTTGATATTTTCTTCTGTACTGTTTTCCTAATAAGATATACCTCTGCAGTAGGTTGGTCACATTTTATTGTTGCATTTTTTATCCCATAATGATATTACATTTTTATTTTATTTATTTTTTTCTTTGTAAAGACGTCATTCCTGGTTAAGCAGGCTTTGTGTACAGTAGACTTATTAATACATTTTTAAATCCTGTCTTTTAGAAACTTTCTTTATTGCCTCATCAAGAGACTTGAGAATGTAACTTACATTAGATGTTTATGTAAACCTGTAAATGTCTATTTTATTTATTTATTTATTTATTTATTTATTTATTTATTTATTTTGATACCAAAGCATTTTCACACAGACTACAGCCAAAGAATAGATATTCTATCTGTATGACAATAAGAAAATAATTAAGTTTAATGAAAGACTTACTCATTGTGATGCTCAAACTGTTCATTCCTTGGGTACATTATATCCGTACCAATAGCAACCTTATTTATTTTGCCTTCACTTTATTTCATTTTTGTGTTACATGATTTTAGGACTGGGCTCCATTACAAACAAATGCGGGGCAATTAGTCATATATATCTCTTTTAAGTAAACAGTTGAAGGACAGTTTTTCAGAATTTTGCTAAGTGTTTTATTGTGCTTTGACCTTTTTTAAAGTTTTCTTCAACTTTTGTTTTGCGGGAAAATTGTAATAGTATATTCTTTAATGTATGAGTTAGTACAGTATTACAGCATCTACTTGTACATGTGAAAAAAAATAAGTGAAAAGATATGAACTAGTGTGACAGGAAGGGTATTCTTAGGAATGGGACTCCTGGATTCCATATAATGTGTACAGGGTAGGGTGTCGGAAAATACATTTGTTTTGGGGTCAGAACAAGAGGCGAATGTCATATAACAGTGCACTAGGAAATGGACTGAATGCTTCCTACTCGGCTTACCACTCCTGTCACGTCGACTTTTTAATGGTTACAATGAAAGGGAAATGTGAATGGTGAACTGTGTTAAATGATGAATTGATATTTCGGCACTGATGGTAATGGCTTTTATATATGAAAGTGAATATCGGTGACATAAAGTTCTATCATTTTCATACATTCCATCACTTACCGGTAGAACCATTAGCCTGTATTATTTGCGATTAAAACATATTAATTGCTGATGCATTGATGTGTGTTGTTTACAATATGTTGCCATATATTTAGTTCTATGGAGCATCAGACGTGGATGGTTAAGAAATAAATGTATTGTTGAACATATACGTTGCCTTTGTTTGTTTTCTGTCTATCCGACGAATGCCTTAAATCATATTGGAAAATAAAGTTCTCTACATTGTTTTACAGAATGACACGATGACGGTATACACTGTCTGTAACATCTTATATGTGACTTGTATTCAGAAATTTTTTGCTGCGTGCTTTTCTGTGATAGATAATGTGTGTAGTACCGAAAATAAAAAGCTCTCCGAATTTTAATTATTAAGTTCTAATGCCCTTCCTCATCCGTTATTTTCTATTGAAGCTTTTAATTCATATGTATTGTAAAACGTGTTCGTTGATAATGTAAAATGTCATCTTTGATCTTCTCAACCTCTATAGATCAAAGAAGAGAAAAAAGGAGAAAAAGGCAATCTAATGATAAAATACGTGAAATATTTCAACTTAAAGAACCCTTTGCACGCCATGAGCGCCTTAAAAGACGCCACTTGTACCCGGTCCCTTGGAATTTAATTATTGTTACCGCAGAAGTTGACTTGTAATTTGTCAACAGCTTCAAGTGGTCCGGCATGATAATGTATTTCACACCGAGAAGCGCGACAACGAGGTTGTGACGTCAGTTATTTTCAGTATATTCATATTGGACAGTACCCAAAACTGCATAGAATTCACCCGAGACATATCTGTAAATATCTAGTTAAAAACCGATTTACCACCCTGGTAGAGGGTACCTATTGTAAGCCAGGAATAATAACAGCGCACGACTTGACGCGCTGTTGAACGTCTTTCGCAGGTATTGGGGGTGCTAACCGAAGGTGTGTAAAAACTCACAGAGCCGTAAAATATTATTATTTCGGACTTTTTTCTTCTACGTGATGTGCATAGCAGTCGTTAATGAACATTAGAGTATGTGCCCTATTTTCATTGAGAAAGGTTATGGACTGCAGGGTAATAAATAAATAAACGCGGACTGTAATTACACTATCCCTATAAAATATGTCACGAACGGTTTGTGGGAATGCTTGTTTGATATAGGAATCATCTGATGTATTGTTAACGCCACCTGAATATATGGAAAGTATAACAAAAACAGGCGCAATCAAATATCCATATTTTATTGAATTTATTTTGAAATAAGACTGCGGAAGACGCTTGAAGACGACATTGTCGTATATCGATCATCAGAGAGAGAGAGAGATGTACATAGCACTCGTGCTCATAAACACAGATCAATTTTCCAGTACAAGTTTATTAAAACCGGTTTAAGACTAAAATCACAAGAAAGTAGACCTCTTTTTCAACAGAATATCTGGTTCACGCCTCCAAGGCTATGTTAGTCTTGAATGAACTTGCTTAACTTCTAACTGTATTGATCACACCATTCTGGGAATGAGTAGAAAAGAATTATAATTTCAAAAAGGATCTACTTTCTTAAACCCGTCTCAAATATATTTGTTGAGACGATGCCGGATGGCCCTAAAGGTGTTTATTTTTGTCTAGCAACGGGAGTAGCGTTTTGTTTACATATGACATTGGGGAGCGCCTGGCGTGAATGGATAGCTTTTTTTGGTCTATATATATACGAGTGCGTCATTAAGTTGGGGGAAACCATAACAGTAGTCATGTTGTTTAACGAAGTGAGTTGAAGGTTAGGCACAAGCACCCGCGTTTACTGGGCTAACTGTATACAGTATATAGTAACTACAGGTGCGTAAATAGGGTCATGGAGGTATATTTCACAAATTGTCTTAAGGCAGTTTTGAGTCATAATGTTAGCCTGACAAGTCACGGCCGACTTAGCTGCATTTCACGGCGTCTTAATGGTAGCTGACCTCGTATTGGAAGTTTTGGCAATTTTTTTTTAGCAAATTGTGATTGTTTTGATGAATATTTTTACTCCCATTTGTGACAGGGGTGAAGGTATGGGAGATAGACCCATCTTACACCAAAAGCCAATTATAAAAAAGTCTGTGTTTATCCTAAGAACTTTAAAATCTCTTGTGAAGCGGTCCTTGGGTCACAGTCAAAGTAAGGTAGGTAGGCGGTCGTCATAACCGGTGTGACTGGATTTGTAGCCCTAGAAAAAGAAGTCGGATATTACACTCTACCAGGGCCGCAGTTATTATTCTGTGGACATTTTTGCTGAGGCAACAGTACAAAGATTAGCCATCTATTTAACCAGAGACATATCTCTAAATATCTAGTGGAAATCAATCTGTGGCGCTGGTAGAGGGTAGCCGGATATGATGAGTACAGGTTAGGGTTAGTCAAAGTATTGGGGTTAGCTCATGGGATGAATATCACCTGTACAAAGTAATGTGGAACGGACTACGGATCCTGTCACACCGAGAGTCCCTTGTGATACAGGGTCCAGTTCCCATGGATATAAACAGGTAAGCCGCGTTCTAGATTTTGGCCCATTCACATGTAGGTCACGCCAACCCTAACCTGTACGAATCTAATAGTGAGAGCGGAGTCTCTGTTTCACGGACGTTCAGTTTCTTTACACCGGAATTATTATAACAAGACTCTACACTCTTTTGTAGATTTGATTATCGAGTGTAGATTTCAGAATATGTGAAAAGGACTTAAGGGATTGGAATGTTGGATTTCACACGTATCGGTGGTAATCAGGGGTATGTAACTATCAATGGTTTTTAATTTAAGAATTCATTTGACTTACACTGTATGTCTAAAAATTAAATTGATATTTGATAATTTTCACAGAAAAGAAATAACCCTGGAAACATTTGTATCATCTAGTGAAGAAGGTATAACTGGTAAAGGGTATAACAAGATTACCAGAAGATCTATTAAAAGCGAATTTTATTCAGTATAACATTATCATGACAGAATATATGGTCAGATCTTAAAAAAACATATATATATATATATATATATATATATATATATATATATATATGTTCCTATATATCCTGATATCTGTCTGTCCTCGACGTCAACTTCGCCTCTGACTTATCTCTTGTTTACCCTTTAACTGCCAGGCTTTGTTTTTGTTTCAGTTAAAATTTACTACAACCGTCAGTTATATAAGCCTAAGCGTGATCGTCACGCTACCGAGTCGGTCAGTATAGGCGCGTCTGGGAAATCATACATATGTCGACGACAAAGTATCATTGAATTCTCCTACATGTATGTAAGAGACCATTCCCAGACCCTATCGTACTAACTTTGGATCGAACTATCTCCAAGGGGATTCTCGCATAATTGCAATTAACTTAAGCGGCTTAGATGCCTTTCACGCTGAAGCTGAAAGGGATAATTAACTATCGTTTAGCAGCTTTAGTAGGCGTCCCAGGCATCTAAGCCACTTAAGCTGAAACCAATTTTACAAGACACCCTGTGGAGATGGACAGATCCTGCTAGATCGATCTAGGAATAAGAACCCAGTCTAAGACTGTTCAAAGCTCTGTACCATACCATACACATGCTCCATCCAACAAAATACAATTTTCTACAAGTTAATTAATGCAGGTTTCAGGTTTTATAAACGCATGCTGCAGTCACAATATTGATGGTTTAACACGAATTTGAGCAGATAAATAATTACAGCGTTTTTTTTTTCCTCTGGTGACATCATTGAGTGTCCTGGAGTAATGTTTCGTGCGTGTGCATGTTTAACATTTTTTCATTTTTCACATATTTGCATTTTTATATTCAGACACTGCAAGTTTCACCATTTATCTGTCTTATCATCTGTTTCTTTATTTTTCTTTGTTTGGTGTCTGTGCATGTGTCATCCATGATGTCTATTTAAAGGGTCCTTATACATGGATAAATTATTCTTTTCCAGAGTGAAGAGTGACTCTAACGTGTGATGACCAACTACAGTCTAATGGATCACAACGCAACGGAGTACCCCATCGTAGGAACAGGATTGGGGTTTTCCCCGGGCATTTTATTCCACTTATTCCACTTGGATGGCGACAGAATTGAGTTCCGTGTCACATACACCGTGGCTTTTGTTTTGGAAGTCATCGGAGTTGTCATGAACATCGTGTCTCTCAGCGCCCTGTATAACATTTCGAGGCCCGTCCGCCCTTTGCAAGTTCTGATCATCCACTTGGCCGCGGCAGACTTGCTTTTCTTGGTATCGGGGATGGTAAGCACGTGCCTCGTGCTCGCTGAAATTTACACCCCCGGCATGCTGGGACAACAGAGCCCGGTTTGGTGTGTTGGTGAGATATTGATTGATGTCCACATAAACTGCTTCCCAGTTCCCTTTATTATTACTACGTATATCGTTCTTAATCAACTACTGGCACTGACTTTCCCGCTGAGGTACAAAGCTTTCGTCAGCAAACGGCGGATTAATGTGATTCTTGGGATTTCCTATGTCGTTGTTGTTGTGCTGTTTCTCACTTTCCACATGGTATCTCTAACTCAAGGTGATTCGTGCCTTTCACATTTTTCAAAAACGTACATCAATGCTACGTCCTGGTACCTTGGAATACTGTGCTCAGTTTTGATTTTGGTTAACTTACTGCTGTATGTTGGATTATTCATAAAAGCCAAAGACATCATCCGAAGCCACAAAGGCTCATTTCAGTTACAAGAAGCACAGAAAGCAACAGCTAACTGCGCGACGATCGACTCAAGAAAAGACAGAAAACTTCTTATCACGATCTTTCTGCTCTCAGTAACCATCGTTGTCCTTTGGACTCCCGCAATTGTGACTTTTTATCTTAAAACTTTAATTGCCAGCCGAGACTTTGAAGAGCGCATTGATCTAGCCGTGGTTCAAGCAATTACCGGCGTCGTCGCTATTCTAAATTCGTTAGTAGATCCTCTAGTGTACGGCATTCGGCTCCCCGAGGTCCGTGCCGGATACAGTAGACTTATGGGAAATTTTAGAAATTGTTGCAGAGGACCAGCAAGTCAAGGTGGAATATCCAGAGAAGCAACCAAAAGTACTTCTTGCTAATCAACTTGTGTTGGGATAACGAGTGTCGTTATACCTTGATTACGAAATATCATCATAACTTTATTTTATTTTTTTCATTGTGTCCGACTTTTTAACTCAAAGACGTTATTGTAAATAAAACCTACATGTTTTTTCTCAATCAACGGATTCAATACCTTTAAATGTAATTTTCGAAGACCAACTGTAATTGCTTCTAGTGCAGTATTGTATCTTATAACATGTTGTCTAACTTTGAGAAAATAATACGTATTATTAGTCCAGGGTCTCACGTTTTTCTTCAAATGAGCGTTAATGTATACAACATTGTTGATAATAATCTGTAGTGACCGCCTAAGAGACTTGTGGTGTTAGATTTCAAAAGGTGATTCATACTTAAAACTGAGGAAAAAATAAACATTTATTTAGCTCAAAAATAAACATTTAGCTCAAAAATAAACATTTATTTAGTGTTTAAGTTCTCCTGAAACGGTGTTTTCGTGTCACTTTGTATTGAAAATCATTTGCACATAAATTTTATATTCCAATGTAGCCCTAATCTACATTGTACTAATCTATCAAATTCGACCTACATGTATCAAAGTTAAACATCAAAGCGAATTAATGTCATTCAAAACCTATTGAGAAGCAATCTTACCTTCGAATTTGTAAAATGTTTATTTTCGGTGTGTCTTTCCATATTTGATCTCGAGTGACGCTTTTCTTTTCTTAAAGATAAATGATTGCCCTACTCCTGTAGACCCTATGTATTATTATTATTATTTATTGCGGTTCAAGTACATTTTTTACAATGACTATGACCTAACAGTATACATAATATAATCATATAACTAAAATTACAATAGTAAATTACAATATTGTTTATATAATAACTGTGATCAGATTTTACAATTGCAGTATACGCTCGTTACTTTGGTTGACTAGGTGGTGGTTGGTTGAGAATATTTTTTCTTTCCTTATTACACATTGTGATATAGTGGGCCACATTCTTTATAACATGTAAATCGTTTGACTGCATTATGCATTTGAACTGACCCTCTGGGGTTTGTGTAGGATCTGGTTTTAGGATCTCCCTGTGTTTGGTGAGTAAGGGGCATTTTAAAAGAAAGTGTATTTCGTTTTCCACTTCATCTGAGCATAACTTGCAGATCCTTTCTTCAGGGGGTATTGATTTTGGTTTTCGGTATCTGCCTCTTTGGATTTCTAAGTCATGTGCCCCTGTTCTAAATTATATCACTGACCTTACACCGTTGCTGTCTGCCACCGTTGCCAAGTGAAACGTCATAAAAGATAAACACGTGCAAGGTTACGTTTGTGACGCGCGCACATTTTCTTTGGAGCTTATTTCGTTTTCAATTACATCCGGAAAAAAAAAGAGATTCACGTTTTTCCCGCCAAAACTCATCATTTTGAAAGTATCGCTCCCATTTTTTTCTGCTTGTTCCGCCATGCGCAGTGAGACCAGGTTCAGTTTTACATTTGAGAACGCGCTTGACAACCTTCCTGTTTGATTGATATCTAGCATTTAGCTAATCATTAGGCCTACGAAGGAACACCGCATGATAGGCCCTACTTGTATGTAAATCGAATTATAATTTCTATATGTTAAAAAATAATAAATAAACAACACAAGTGACGAGGGACAAGTGACATATTGGAATGTGTTAATGTTTAAAGTTTAAACAACAGTGTTAATCTTTTTTTATATGTGTATCTAGAGTACGGACTGTAGCCTACATAGCTCAACATGATATGCCCAAGAGGCCTCTCGTCCACAAAGTTAAGACGACTGTGACTAAGTTCTTTTGGTCTCTCGAACGGGACTACAAGACTACAAATAGGAAAACCTGTAAGAAACAATCTGCTCGCCGGCCTCAAAGAGGGCTGCAAGAGTACCTAAGACCGAAAATAAAAGAACATAGGATTTGATCAAGTAGGGCGATGGACAGACACATGTGGGATGGGCTGTGCTGGATCATCTTCATCTTATTTTTGTTAGTTTATATTGGATAATGAAGAGTAACCTGTAATCTATAGTGGTTATAAACTGAACCTTATTTAGAGACAACAACCTTCCACCGAATTACTTTATGAAGGTACAGTTTATATCTAGTTTCCTTTGAAAATAATGTGTTGTTTAATATACTTTGCAAACGTGTTATGAAAGCTCGAATGGCTATGTGAAAGGACACACGGTCAACCTGTCACTCATTTTTTAATTAAAAAAAGTGATGATAAATAAAACATGGACGTGAAACAAAAATACATTAGGAAGCAAAATGAAAAATTATTCTTTTTAACACCTTGACGATGTAAAGGGAATTTTATTGATTGTGATTGCTCACCCGAGAGAGAGAACGAGCCGAATCAGTTGCATGAATGATGAGGAGTCGAAAATACATTAAAACAAATGCTATGATTGACATTCGGCACTGACAGAGCGAAAAGATGTTACAATAATATAGAGATGAATAAATGATAAGGTTTGATTCCATGCGATATGCACATAGAAAACACACGGTTTCAGTTTTGTATCCATCAATTTAATAACTGATGAATATAATTCGCATAAGCGATCTTTTGAACTAATCATCAACTGAACTTTTCTCCTAGGATATTCAGCAGTTACTCCATTCTTAGCAAATCACCAACAGGGGCGAGAACGGAGCGTTTTCTTGATTTGTCTGCCATTGAAAGCTGCTGGGATAACGATGATCGGTGTCTGAAATGAGCATGGTGGCCCTAAGACTGCTTCTTGTCGGAATTACTATGATATTTTTAGGTAAGTTTGGCAGAAACAAAATGCACAAGCCAAAAGTGGTACCGGTGTTTTAATATTGATACGTCGTAGAGCTGAAAAATGTTTTTGGCAATAATTTGATATACAGCATGACACAACATCATAACATTATTCGTCTGTGTGGTTATATATTTGTTTCTGAATTTGAAATTGTTCCTAAATGTCCTTTCAATCCGCTTTAGATTGAAAATTATATCTTAGTATATACCAGTTTACTAGTATTTCATTGTAACATCCATTTTATAATTGCAAATAATAATAATAATAATAATAATAATATTAATTGGTGTTGTTGGTATCTTTCCACGGCAGGTACAACACCATGTAGAGGTTGCACCCAGAATTTGGCCAAAGGCAAACCCGCATACCAAAGTTCCACCTACCTAAATACGTACCATGCCAGTCGTGCTGTGGATGGTTACTATGACGACAACAACATACATGGGAGTTTTTCTTACACCAATGGTAGTCAGGGAGACTGGTGGCTGGTTGACTTAGAAACCACTGCGAAGGTGGCCGGTGTTATCATAACAAACCGTGGCAATATCTTTTGTGAGTTTTGATTCTATATTTTGTAATCATTTTCAATTGATTTCCTCAAATAGTGACACTTTTTCAATTTTCAATCCGTGTGGCTACGTACCTTGTGCGATTTTTATCACTGGTCTGTTGTTTAATTTGCCGCAACATGTAGGCATATATGGCAAATTGTAGAGTCAAATTTAACAATTTTACTTTGTGTTTTCAGCTCAGTTTTCAGCTTTTTTTCTGCATAATTTCGAAGTGAGAGTCGGAACCTCATACGATGATAGTTCATCATTCAACCAGTACAAACCCTGCGCCAGTTACCCGGGGGTGGGCACCTGTGGGGAACACGTCTCTGTCCTGTGGGTCACCACTGAGAGGACGATATGTCCTGATCATTAAAGTTGGTAGTGACAACAGTCCCTTGCAGCTGTATGAAGTGGAGGTCCATGGTGAGTTCATGGGTTCATCAAAACCACTTTTATAGCGGGACTTAAGTATTTCACGTTGTTAATTTGTTAATACAAGTACATGTATGTGTTTTAAAGGTTGAATTTTATAATTGATTTAACGTCGACATAACCGGTCAATCAGGTACGTTTTTTATATAAGCTGTCAAGTCCCATAGTTGATTAATGTTTTTTAAATTATTTTTATTTATTTGTTTTTTTATTTATTTATTTATTTATTTATTATTTATTATTATTATAATTTTTTTTTTTTGTCTAGGGTTTAGAACATCAATGAAGTTTAAGCAGGTAGCAGCAGATGCTCGCGCAACTCTTGTGCCCATATCCACGCTGAATGTCGGCAGCCTCATCGAATGCAGCAGCTCCTGTATGCAGCGCTGGGAGTGTGTGGCCATAAACGTGCTCTGTGCCGGAAATGACCAATGTGTCTGTGAACTGCTGCCCAGCACTGCCCAATCCGGCGACTTGCAGGCACGCACTGGATACAGATATTATGAAGAAAACTGCCCGGGTACAGAGTAGGACGAGATGTCTAATTTCTGTAAATGAATCGCTTACAGAATACTCCGGGGAAGCATTCATGAGTTCGTTACGCATACATGCACTCTTTACGTATTATCTACCATTGATGTTTAAAGGGATAATAACTATTCGTGTGAGATCTATATTTCACAACAAAAACTTTGTAAACAACTCGTAGAAATATGATATATTCTGTTTCATCACAAAAACGGCAGTTATGGCTATTATTCTGATATCTGAGCTTGTCATCGGACTACGTGACCTCCATAGATAGCTACATTCTGTAATAATCTCTTAAGAGATTATTACATGTCTTGGTTTTTCTGTTTATTTTGTTGGATGTTTTTTTAAGTATTATTTTTTTCTGTTTTCAGTATCACTGATGACGAACAATTATGGTTTCTCTGTATAGAATGGAATGTGTTGTTTATTCATATTCCTTAAAATAAAAACAATTCTCTTATCACTTATTTTTCAACAGTGCAACGTTTTCCGTTTTGAATTTGTTCTTAATGTCAAACACGTCACAAACGACGTCACTGAAATATACGTTCTATTACATGCTAATTATTGAAATTGGCCCAATCTTACTCCACTCCAACTCTACATCGAAATTTCTAATAAGATACCGAGCCAGTTAAAAAAGTATGTATGCACACTGAGTAATTTGTGAGCATATTTCCATTGAACATGGACAACTGAATTTCCATGCTCTGACAGGAGTATTCAAGTGTCCAGGACTGGCCAGAAATGACCCCTGACCCGCAGTGAAACGTACTCGTTACCTTGTGACCCGTTGACATATACGAAGTCGATCCCCTGTGGGAGAGGGTTCACGTTAGGTACATTTTAACCTACTAACTTCACGCTAACCCTAAACTTTATTATATGTATATAAAATGAAGGGCAATGGCCTAGATATCAACAGATACATGTTGGTCAATAGGTCGAGAGAACTTTTACAGAATCTCAGCATCAATTTACTGTCATTCGTTCATTATAAAGTCAGTTCTGTAATGCATAATAATTTTGAGTTGCAGACCTCCAAATAGTAGCCTCTATCATGTTAGAATTCGGATCGATATCTTTGGCGGAATCTGAATCAATTCACTGTCACAGCATGAGTTATCAACATTGTTTCAAAAAAACATTCATCATCAACAGAAATGGTGAACTACGGGAGCGTTTAGAATAAACTTGCCTCTGTCTCTGCGGGAATTATTGATAAAGTGCAGTCAATGTAATCAGTTTAATTGTCTGACACTCCTCCTCGACCAGGTAACGGGTAATTAAGTCTGTTTACCGTAATGGTTGAAGTTGAATGTCAATCCTAGAATAGGCTGGTAAGAACTATACACAGTTGCGTTTCACAAAAACCATAGAGCAAAATTTGTTTGTCTTGACAATTTATTCATTTATCTATTTTTCATTTATTGTGGACCAGTGGTTCGTAAAACGGTCTTAGACCAATAATCTTAAAGCCGACTGTATGTAGTCGGCTATCCAGTCGGATAGCAGTCTAAGCGAGGTCGTTCATCTCGTATTTAATGTCTTTAATCCGTGCTCCTAGAGGAAGTTTTGATATTGTTCCTAACTTGAAATACATGAATATTAGAGTCCACCTTGTCTCCCCAGCATTTCTATTTTATTTTAGTTATAACTTTACACATGTAATTACTTTTATCCCAGCTGGTCACATGATCGTCGCCTTTGTAATTATTGGTTTTGTTGCCCATTTTATTGATCACACAATGTGTGGGATTTGGGCAATATTTGGCAGTGACGTTGATGTCTCAGGGCAGTGGAACAATTCCTTGAAGATCGCCCATCGTGGTCCTGATGCTTTCCGCATTGAAAATGTCAACCATCTAAAGAACTGCTGCATGGCCTTCTACCACCTGGCTGTTGTTGATGACACGTTTGGTATTCAGCCAATGAGGATCCATTCTTTACCACATTTGTGGATGATATATAACGGGGAGATATATAACTGCAAACTGGTAAGATACAACACGTATTACTTTCGCCAACAGTGATGGATTATCTGTATTCTGTTTGTTAATGGACAAGATATCTCAAAGGTTCTTTGCAAATTTACAAATAAAAGAAAATTTTAATATTCAGAATTGGGTGTTAGGCCTTTTCAGGAGGGTTAGTAGTAAAGCATTACAGTGTACAGTCAACCTGAGTTCCTTAATATATATCAGGATTTTTACTGCTTTTTAAGGTCATGGCGAAGTTGGAACTGAGCAATTGACGCTGTGGCGGTACGGATATGCTCCTTTCTGCATTCTTTAAATTTGTGTTTCTTTGTTTCTTTTCATATGACATCAAATTTATCTGATATATTTCCTTTAAGATCCAGAAACAGTTTGGCTTTGACTTTGAGACAAACAGTGACGGAGAGACCATCTTGCATCTGTACAACCATGGCGGCATAGAATTTGCCGCGCAGCACCGTGATGGGGTCTTTGCATTTGTTTTGCTTGATACGTTGAAGAGGAAAGTTTGCGTGGGCAGGGACACGTTTAGTGTACGTCCAGCGTTTCGTTTGGTAGAGGATGGTTTTCTGGCTGTTTGCTCTGAGTCAAAAGGTGCGAATTCTGCGCGCGTACGCGTGCGCACACACACACACACACACACACACAACCTTATTTAGAGACAACCACCTTCCAACGAATTACTTTATGAAGGTATAGTTAATATTTAGTTTCCTTTGAAAATAATGTGGTGATTTATATACTTTGCAAACGTGTGATGAAAGCTCGAATGGCTATGTGAAAGGACGCACGGTCAACCTATCACTCATTTTTGAATTTAAAATAATTGATAATAAATAAAACATGGACGTGAAACAAAAATACATTAGGAAGCAATTTGAAAAATTATTCTTTTTAACACCTTGACGATGTAAAGGGAATTTTATTGATTGTGATGGCTCACCTGAGAGAGAGAACGAGCCGGATCAGTTGCATAATGATGAGTCGAAAATACATTAAAACAAATGCTATAATTGACACTGACAGAGCGAAAAGATGTTACAATAATATAGAGATGAATAAATGATAAGGTTCTATTCCATGAGACATGCACATAGAAAACACACGGTTTCAGTTTTGTTTCCATCTATTAGATAACTGATGAATACAAGTCGCATTAGCGATCTTTTGAACTAAGCATCAACTGAACTTTTCTCCTAGGATATTCTGCAGTTACTCCATTCTTAGCAAATCACCAACAGGGGCGAGATTGGAGCGTTTTCTTGATTTGCCTGCCATTGAAATCTGCTGGAATAACGATGATCGATGTCTGAAATGAGCATGGTGGCCCTAAGACTGCTTCTTGTCGGAATTACTGTGATATTTTTAGGTAAGTTTGGCAGAAACAAAATGTACAAGCCACAAGCGGTGTTTTAATATTGATCTGCCGTAGAGTTGAAAATGTTTTTGGCAATAATTTGATATACAGCATGACACAATATCATAATATTATTCATCCATGTGGTTATATATTTGTTTCTGACTTTGAAATTGTTCCTTAAAAGTCATTTCAATCCGCTTTAGATTGAAAATTATATATTAGCATATACCAGTATACTAGTATTTCATTGTAACATCCATTTTATAGTTGAAAATAATAATAATAATAATAATTGATATCTTTCCACGGCAGGTACAACACCATGCAGAGGTTGCACCCAGAATTTGGCCAAAGGCAAACCCACATACCAAAGTTCCACCTTCCAAAGTAAACACGGAATTTTGTTCCATGCCAGTCGTGCTGTGGATGGTAACTATGACGACAGAAACAAACATGGGAGTTGTTCCCACACCAATGGTAGTCAGGGAGCATGGTGGCTGGTGGACTTAGAAACCACGGCGAAGGTGGCCGGTGTTATCATAACAAACCGTGGCGATGGCAATTGTGAGTTTTGATTCTATATTTTGTAATCATTTTCCATTTTTTTCTCAAATAGTGACACATTTTCAATCCGTGTGTCTACGTACCTTGTACGATTTTTATCACTGGTCTGTTGTTTAATTTGCCGCAACATGTAGGCATATATGGCAAATTGTAGAGTCAAATTTAACAATTTTCACTTTTTGTTTTCAGCTTATCGTCTGAATAATTTCGAAGTGAGAGCCGGAAACTCATTTGATGATAGTTCATCATTCAACCAGTACAAACTCTGCGCCAGTTACCCGGGGGTGGCACCTGAGGGGAACACGTCTCTGTCCTGTGGGTCACCACTGACAGGACGATATGTCTTGATCATCAAAGTTGGTAGTGACGAACATCCCTTGCAGCTTTGTGAAGTGGAGGTCCATGGTGAGTTCATGGGTCCATCAAAATCACTTTTACAGGCGGGCTTCAAGTATTTCACGTTGTTTATTTGTTAATACATGTACATGTATGTGTTTTAAAGGTTGAAAATACTACATGTAGTAGCTAAAATCTGTAAATCTGACACATTTTATAATTGATATAACGTCGACAGAACCGGTCAATCAGGTACTTTTGATATAAGCTTTCAAGTCCCATTGTGAATTAATGTTTTTTATTTATTTATTTATTTTTTATTTTTTGTCTAGGGTTTAGAAGATCAATGCAGTTCCAACAGGTAGCAGCAGATGCTCGCGCAACTCTTGTGCCTATATCCACGCTGAATGTCGGCAGCCTCATCGAATGCAGCATCTCCTGTATGAAACACTGGGAGTGTGCTGCCATAAACGTTCTCTGTGCTGGAAATGACCAATTTGTCTGTGAACTTCTGCCCAGCACTGCCCAATACGGAGACTTGCAGGCAGACACTGGATACAGATATTATGAAGACAAATGCCCGGGTACAGCGTAGGACGAGACTGTCTAATTACTGTGAATATATCGCTTACAGAATACTCCGGGGAAGCATTCATGAGTTCGTTACGCATACATGCACTCTTTAAGTATTATCCACCATTGATGTTTAAAGGGATAATAACTCTTCGTGTGAGATCTATATTTCACAATAAAAACATTGTAAACAACTCATAGAAATATAATACATTCTGTTTTATCACAAAAACGGAAGTTCAGGCTATTATTCTGATTGAGCTTGTTATCAGACCACGTGACCTCCAAAGATGGCTGCACTCTGTAATAATCTCTTAAGA